ATCGTAAAGACTAAAGTGCAACAAATCTGACCTTTGACTGAAACTGCATACAACTACAATCCCAAGTCAATAAACATAAAAATATTAATACATGTGCTAAATCACACCAAGCATTATATAAGTACTTGTAGCTGTCCCAAAGGGCAATCTTAGTTATGTTGCACCCCTCTGCAACTCTGTTTTCTGGATTGACTGATTTTAACTTCGCCAATCAGAATAAGCCCTCACATGAGCCTGGTTATCAGCTCACTAAGTTAACCCAGGGTTTCCCATGCAGGAGACCAACTGGCTAACCAATTACAAGCATGGATAAGTGTACTGGTAGCAGATCAGCTGATTGTTAAACACACAATGCAGACAGAAAGCAACACATCTGCTACAGAAAAAGCAGCAGAGTGTGTGTGTCTGACAGCGAGAGAGAGAGAGGGAAAGCACTATACAACAGTTTAATACTAAAAGTCCTATATAAACACGTGAGCGCTTTAAGTGCTTTGCAGTCAATAAGACTGGACAAGATCTATTATAGTAATATACCATATTTGAAGCCTGGGAAGAGAGCTGGCAAAAATACTGATTGTATAATTTAACAGATTTATCCGTATCACAGCTCTATCATTAGGCCACAGGAGAATCTGATGGAATATAATTGAGTATTTAATTCAATTAATTTTTAAAAGACAGGTTTTAGCTTTTATTCTTTCAGCTGCAGTCTCAGTGGTGTTTTTAAGAGTTTGAGACCAACTAAAGAATAAAAATAAAAAAACAGATTTCTAATGTAGGACATTTGATACAAAAACCACAAATACAAAGACGCTCTGAATAAATGTGAGACTGAATAAATGTGAAAGTCTAGAATTGGAAGTTACTGGGGGAATTCTTACTGGGGGAAAATTCCTAGATATGAGATTTTATTTTAAAAAAAAAAACTTTATCCCATCCTACTACGTGGGTACAGTGGGCAATGGCTCGTCCAACAATGGTGTCGCTATTTTCCAGAGAATTGAAGGGTCAGGGGGCAAACTCAGGGTTAATTAAGAAGTTATCTGGATAAGACGAAATCCTGCTTTGTACTACAAGCCTCTGGTATCTTCTGAGACTCAATATCTCACTAGCACAACACAGTAGGATAACACTAAACGCCCACTGTATCTTTTTTTTTTTTGAGTAAACAAAAAAAGAGTGTTTTGGTTGGGAAGCCGGCTTCCAGGGTGCTGTACTGTAATTCAGTCCAGGCAGAAATGCTACCATGGCCAAAGACTCCTCACAAGTTACTTGGCCCATTTTATAGTTCACTGGGTCTTTTGCAGGTTTTGTGTATCAATTGCAAACAACCTCATGCTGATTTCTTAGCAGGACTGCTGATCTTGTTGATTGCACAAGTAAAATCCATGATGACAATTATAGCAAGGTAGCAGACATGTTTGTTCTTGTTCACTTGTGTGCATGGGCAGATAACTAATGAGTTGCAACTGCGCGATTTAATGCGCAACTGAGTTGCACATTAAATGAGGCACCCTGCTATGTGCACTATTAGATGTTAAGTTTTCTGTAGCTAGTACACAGTCTTGAGTGAAAAGAGTTGATTGATTTTTCAACCACATCTGTTCAGAGAGAGTGTGAAGCAGAGAAGGCTGAGCCAAAGTAGCACAACAAACCAAAGTCTCCACAATGTTACACTGGCAGCTTTTTTTTTTTTTATGATTGGTTGTCACACAATCATAGAAAGCAAATCACAGCATCTCCAAGGGCAATGGCTTACTCAAAACCCCCCAGCTGGTGCTTAGCAGAACTGCTGAACAGTTACAAATGGACAACTTTCTTTTTTGCCCTGCCGCTGTCGGTCTCATGTGGTCACTCACACTTATTTCAGCCTGTTTGGACTTCACCTAATGGCCCAGAAAGGGCAAAGCTCTCATGTCATTCGTTTCTAGATGAAACTAGCTCAAACACATTTGCTGGCGGCTGAAAATTCCATCACTTTGCACAGAGGTCATTCTGTCTGAACCTGACACTAAGAGTAATACAAAGTATTGAGAAACATGATGATGTTGCACTACTACTTTTGGCACCATAACACGTGAATTTCAGCAGGCAAACTTCAGTCTCACTGATATGGGGAGATGCGATCACATACTTCTGAGATATGAATCTGTCTGATCCTCCTATTGGTTTTGGCACTGCTGTTACAGGATGAGCTGTACAGTTTGTCTAGTTCATTAAGCTGAACAACTACACACTGTATATTACTCCACACAACTTTAACCTGGGCACACTATCCAAAGTGAACAAAATCAAAACGGGCTAGTGGGGGGTATTTTTGAAATAAAAATTACAAAATTGAAAAACTCTCATTTTTCAATTTGTATAATGTTGTTTTTTGGGGGTTTTTTTGGGGGGGGGACTAAGCTATTTATTACACCACATTATATACAATTACCACTGTCAGACAAGTAAAGACTAGTTAATGAACGAGTAAAAGGTCTTTCTAGCAATACTGGACATAATGTGATTTTTCTATCAATGTAATGAATGACGTGCTTTTTCAGTTATTAGAGTTTCCAGGACTAACTGATCACTGCCATAAAGTGGCACACATCTGTAATACAATCATGATATTTTCTATGAAACTTTGTCTCAAAGTTCTCTCTAATACTAAATTTTTACCTCACAAGGAAATTAGCTCTTCTTCAACTTGCAGGATGAGAAAAAAGAATCGAAATCATCAAATGCAACTGGAATCACTTATTGGCAATCACTTCAGTTTGTAATTTGCTGTGCTTTAGCTGACAGGATCCTCAAGAGCATAGCAGAACTTAGGGAAATCAATGCTGCTAATTTAAAGACGGCTAATTGGTAAAGCTTTTGAGTTGCTTTTAATTAAATAACGGCTGCCCTAAATGAATGGAATTTATGGATGAATACACATTGATTTTACTACATAATCATCGACTCGCTGTTTGCCAAAATAACATGAGAGGGGTTTTTAAAAGAGCCTATATATATATGCAACAGCTGTGTGCTGTTTGGAGTAAACTTGTTTCAGTGGGATGCCTGTTAGAGAAGAGTTACCTCATTAAAAGTGATCTTGTTGTTTTTTATTGTCTGAGGTGAGCTCTTCCATGTTTTCCCAAAAAAGTGCTGATGATTTCTGTCAAACAGCGTTGCCCGTAGTTGGTAAGTCACACTTTGTTCTCCCACTGCCTTCTCCTATGAGCAAAAAGGAAGCATATGCATCTTAGAAAAGTCACTGTTAACAAGTGAAGAGTTAAACTTAAATCCTCCTTTATGACTATTATCCAACTTCATGAAAAACACCCCAGAATGAGGTTCCCAATATCTGAATGCTCAGTTTTGCATCGCTGTAACTGATAATGCCAGCAAGTAGTGGATGTCAGATTCACTTTGGTACTGTTTGATGCTCTACATATAGACTGAATTTACTAATAATCCCATGACATTGATTGTGTGTCTGATTAAAAAAAAATGTATGGTTGCCTTCAAATATAACATTTTTCAAAGGTTCGCGAGATTTCTTCAGGCGCAGTGTCACAGAGATGGATACTGAATAGGCCTTATCGTGACTTTTATTTTGACAGTCAATACAAAGTCAAGCTCACAGATTAAAATACATTGAATTTAGGTTTGCTAAACCTCTAGTGAATTGCTATAGCAGAGTTTTTTCTATGTTTTTAATTAGCACTGAAAGCTAACTGTAAATAGTCACCTGGGATGGGAGGTGAGTTGCAGTGACACGGTTGAGGGTGAGCTGGAAGCCGTGGGACTGGGTGAAGCGGCTTTCCACAGCCAGCCTTACGGTTTGGCTGTGCGGGGGAACCATCCGGTTCCTCTCAAACACTTGCTTCCAGTCGTCCGCCATGCTGGGTATGTCTTCTATTTTTACCATGTCCTTTAGTTAAAATAAACATTAGCCTGACATTGAACAAAAAAACTCAGAAATGTTGAACGCAACCAATGTTTTACTCTGAATTTAGTCTTCTCCATCCGTTCAGATGTTTAAGCCGTGGCCGCCATATTGAAATCAGATTCTATCATTTAGAACAAAGGGGGGATATGTAATAAATTATTTCATCAGGAGCGTTCACGAGGGAGAAACATTATTTGAAAATATACTTAATATACGAACTGTATTTTCTAATGCAAGTCTACATTTTATTCCCAAAATTTAAAATATACAGAAAAATTCGTATTGGCCGCCTATAATCGTTCATACCTTTCAGTTGGTATTTCCCGTCGTGCTGCGTCAGTTGCTATGGTAATACTCATCTTTCCATTTAGATCTTGTATGAACGTCAGCATCTCCAATTTAAAGTTAGTTTATTGCCACACTCGCAATATAAATGTTATTTTCTTTTTAAATATACACATGTAATAATTATCTTTAATATATTAGTAGAGTATAATTTGTAGGAGGAGCTGTAGTCTTAAGCTGATATGGCGAACACATGAGCAGCTAATTCAGGGGGGTGCTTAGACTCAGTTCCCCCAGAAGGACACACGCTGCCCATTCTCACAAAACACTGCTGTCTAAAACCAATAGACAGAAAAACAAATTATGCACTGAAAAGAAAAGAGAATGTCAGAATAATCTATGTATTATGATCTGGCAAAAATAGCTCCACTTTCAGAGATATATAGCAGAGAAAATCCTAACCAAGTACTGGCCCAGTGTTTGAAAGAGGAAGACAAAAACAGAACTGTGAGAATCCAATGAAAATTTCAAAAGGGATTAAGACAGATGTGTGACTTGTTATCATGTGTTGCATAACCTATATAAACTGTAACGCTAATAAAGCCATTTGAATTGCATTATTATTGTAATCATTAATATTAACAACGTGTACTTCATATCCAGTGTGTCTACAACACGCGGAATGTTTTCCCCATGAAGATATTACTGTAATGTAAATAAATATAAGTTACTTTCACCACCAATCACGCCACAATAGCAAAGAAAGTAAGGAAAAGCACCAGTAGGGGGCAATCACACACTTCCGCTGCTGCTCCGAGCCTCAAGAGGACAAGAGGAGGAAGAAGAAGGAAGCGGTAGGTACAAACCGAAAACAAAACAGCGAAATGTTCGGGAAAATTAAACCTGTGAAAATTAGGAGTTACAGTGAAAACAGGAAATACGGAATTGCCGCAAAAGATGTGAAGGAACTACTGAAGAAGGCCTGCAATTTGCTACTGGTGAGTCTTGTGGGAATTAGTTAGTTTTTAACAACTTATACGGCTGTTCCGCTTTTTTATCTGAGAGGATGTGACATAAACGTCATCGCTGCTAGTAAACAAAAGAAATTAGGCTTTTATTTTTCCTAATTAGTAGTAGCTCGATACGTGATTGGTTTGGTCCCAGATCATCTCCACTGTGAAGAAGATACGACATAAAATAATTTTCGCATCATTTTTAGAGAACTCTGTAAACAGGATGTAAGTGAAAAAGCAACAGTTATGTCACGTTCAGGTCAAAGTGACATGTAGCGTCTACGTTCATATTTCAAGATGCTTTTTTTATTCCGTTTATATTAAATTCTGTTTATGATGGGCTGGGAGCAGAATTCGTTCATTATTAAGTATGGCCTCGGGCACATTTTGTATAAACTCGCTGAAACAAAGAGAAAATGATCTGTTGGTGGAAATCTGTACTGCAGGGATTTGGTTTAATTGGAGTTTACATCGGATAAATAAATCCATTTAATCTGAGCAGACTCTCACAGATGGCTCTCTTATAAAATATGTCAAGTTTACAGATTAGTTATCTGGTCTAAAAAGCTTCTACTTCTAGTCCACACAACACATTTGTCATTGGTATTTTTACCTGTTATGTTCTCCACGAGTCCAGGTGCCACTCTCTGGTGCACGTGTTTGCTTGTATGAGGACGGGACAATAGTGACGGAGGAGTTCTTCCCAACTTTGGCGGATAACACCGAATTGGTTCTTATGTCTAAAGGGCAGACCTGGAGTGGAGGTAGGAGGATCAACACCAGACAAGTTTCTACTGTAAACCTGTGTTTTTATTCTCCCAGTCAGCTAAACCGCTGGATGATTGTGATGTTGCCTAATCTTTATCTGATTTTTAGTTGTGTGTGACATCAGTCAGCTACTCAACACAGACCGGCATGCCGACAGCCTCATTGAAGCAGCGAAGGGGCTCCTCTCTGATGAGAAGTCTTCAAAGAGGCGTAAAATCCTGACAGACCTGCTACAGAACCTGGAGGATAGGTCGGAGCTGGAGAGCAGAGAGGAGGACGAAGACTGGTTCCAAGGTAGCAGCCTTCATCCTCTTGGAGAAGCACTCTTTGTTTTGTTTTAGAGTTCCTCAGACTTTTCCTGTCGTGGCTTCTTTTGAGGTCAAACTCCCAGCCTGTCTGCACAAGACTCAAAGATTACAGTTAGGCCTGTAGGAATTTTGACAGTGTTTTGTGAATTTGTCTCTATGTTCCACCACAGTGGATTTTAAAGCAAACAATCAAGATGTGATTGGAGTGCAGACTTTCAGCTTTAATTCAAGGGATTTAACAGGCTTGCTGAGCCTTGACCTATGAGGGTCATAAAGGGTGGAGGCTGCCCTGCCCTACTGCTTTCTGCTGGACTTTGCTACTTCTTCACATGTACTGTGAATAATAATATAAATTATAATAATTAATAAATAAATAGATTTAAATAAAAAAAACTAACTTTTGAGCCTCTGAAAATGGGGCTTATGTATAAAAACGACTCGAATTCCCAAACAGTTAATGCAACACTTTGATCAAACCCCTTGAGATAAAGCTGAAAATTTGCACTTTAATCACATTTTGATTGATTTTAAAATCCATTATGGTGCTGTACATAGGCAATATTACAAATATTGTGTCAATGTAAAGAAATCCCTTTAAAGAAAAGCACTATAAGACATGTGCTACTGTTACTAGAGAACTGGGAAACCATGAATAGATTAAGTCAGTCATGTGTCTTTTTCCAGTATAAAAGCATTGTGAAGACTCAACACCATTATATTTGGAAAAAAATGTTTGAGCAGTGTGACTACGTCTGTATAATTGATCACTTTTTCACAGATTTTTCTCTTGATGTGAGTCTAAATGAATCTGTTGAGCATCTTGTTATTTGTGTTTCTCTTCAGGTGTTGATTCTCGATTTAAAACAAAGTCTGCCTACATGAAGTACAACTGTGAAAGCAGGATACGCGGCTACTTGAAAGAGGTAAACTTGGGAGCCAGGTAACACTCTGTACCTGAGGTCTCTACAGGATTGCTCCACAGTCAGTTGTTCTAACAGTTGTGTTTTTTTGTTTTTGTCAGCTGGATGATGCCACCAAATCCATACAGAAAGCAAAAGTGAGGGCAGAGTTTTTGAAAACCTCCCAGAGCCTCACAGAAATGCTGAAAACAGCCAAGTATAATGGCTGCTACTTTGACAGGACTGAAAAGCAACCAGATCGCCTTTGTACTCAGGAGGGATGGTTCACCTGCCAGGTACTACAAGAATACAAGCTGTGAGGTATTAAGAGGCCTAACAGAGTTGAATGGGCATGAGAAACAAATGCAGGCAACATGAGTTTTACACTGTCACAGACAGGCTTTTGAGCTCTGAGGGAAAGACTCTTGAATCTGTACAGAGTAGCTGGGATCTGCTCCAAATGACTTGTCCGAGGTTAGTTGTATGTGAACAGAAGAGTCGGAGACAAAAGTGCACTGTGGTGTGAGAATCAGGGCAAAGATAAAAAGTAGTGTTTAACTCTGCTTAACAGTCATTACATTTAAAATGTCTCAAAAATATGAAGTCCAGATGTGCTTCAGACTAAGTTCCTCTTCCTCTAAATTGCATCCTCAGGGATCATTTGATGAGAACGTGTGCAAATCTCTTCACTCTATCAACCCCTATGGAAGCCGCGAGGGCAGGATTGTCTTCAGCACTTGGAATTTGGACCACAGGTTCACGCCACCTTTAGTTTATTTACAAGATTTTTTTGAGGGGTTTTTTTTGCTTTACATCCTTCATACAATTCTTCAATTTGTTTCCAGGATTGAAAAGAAGAGGACAGTTATTCCCGCTCTGCTGGAAGCTCTGCAGAATCACAGGAGCACTGACATCAACCTGAACTACTTCTACCAACTCCTGTTCACGAGGGAAAACCTGAAGCTGGTCCACATCGTCTGCCACAAAAAAGGAGCTCACAACCTGCAGTGTGACACCAAGAAGATCTATAATAATGCCACCAAGGATCTAAAAGCAAAACAGAAGCCCAAAGTAAAGAAACGGCGCATGACTTGAAGTCCTGTGACAAATGAGTGGACTGTGATTTGTTTGATGGACTTGGTAAATAATTAACTCTGAAAAGAACCCATCACATCAGCTGGAAAGGTAAATTTGCCTTTGCAATCTCCTCGACGTAGTCGTGACATCAGCTTCTGAGCTCCAAACCCACCATGCTGAGCTTTAATTTCATATTGGAAGTGATCGACCACACTTAAGAAACCATGAAATTCATTTATTTGTTCACTGTATTGGCACTGTGATGTAAAGTACACAAATTAAGTACAAAGATGATAACGAATCATGCATTTACTGAGAATGCTGCATAAATGTGAAAAGCAAATTGACATAAATAAGGCAGTAAATATATAAAATATTTGGACGGTTTAGAACAGTCATGTAAAAAATACAGGCGACAACATCTAGTGCAATTACTGTTAAACTCTTGATTAGATTACATTTTCACTCAGGTTTAAATTATCCAGTCTTTCAGACTGCAGTCTTGTATGAGGAACCTTTTGTTTTGTTTTTTTAAACAACACTCTTACAAATTTTAGAAGAACCCTCTCAGGGAAAATTAATTCATTACATTGATTATGTATTGATACAGATGTTATATATTTCAAAGCTGCCAGAAACGTGAGCACACACACGAGTTGAGGATGAAGAGACACTTGGTGAATGACTTTTATGCAGAAAACTGTTGAAGATGTTCAGCTTAAGCAATGAATTTGTGCTACTGAAGCTCTCAGTACAGATGTTCATGCTCCATCCCTCCTCATTACAGACGTGTAATCTAAACTTAGACTGAAATTGTCACTCTGTTGCTCTTGTCAGCATGTAACATTGGCAATTAATCAGTTTATTTGTATGGGAAAACAAAAACTTAAATCCAGCATTTTCTTTAGTATCTCAGAGGCTAATCTGAAGCTGCGCTCAGGATTTCAATTTTCTACACAAAGTGCTATAAACACTTATGTGAGCATACATTCAGCAATAATTTCACAAACATTACTGCATTTACTCACATTGGCCATTTTCATTTTACTATTGCAGTTATGACTTTTTAAAAATCTAATTACTGATTGAATGCAATGTTTGAGCAGGTAGTTTTCTAAGTGCTGAGAGGTTTAATGTCTTTTCACGAGCAGAACTTTCTCAGTTATAAGAGCGGCAACTCTTCACTAAGTGCCCACCCCGTTGTCTCGCTGCACACCGCTAAAATCCACCTCGTCTTCATCGCTGTCCTCTCTAGCGTAGTAATGTCGCCTCCTGTTCTTCCTTTGGGCGCGGCTAGAAGACGAGGATGATCTTTCAGGAAAATCCTGTGGGATGAATCCGTATTTAGAATTCATTTAATGCAACATTATTTTCACCAATTGTGCTGAAGATATAACTGCAGGAATGATGGGCCTAGAGATGTGGTGGGAGTGGGGGGATAAAAATCTATGTGTATTGATAAAATTAAAGTTATCAGTGAGTAACAAATCTAACTAGGGGTTGTTACTGCTCTCATATTACTCCAGCCCTGCTTATAAGAGGGTGAAATGTCAGTTTATTTAATGTTAACTGTGAGTGAGACCAGAAAAAGAGAAGGAAAAAAAAAAATCAGCAATCACATTTATTTGAGAAAGAATCCAAACCTCAAGGCGAACTTATAATGTATACGTTAGGGACTCCTGGCACAGTGAGGCTTTTATGTAACAACTCGTGGTCTTCTACTCTGCACATTATTGCCCATCTTTTGTGTTTTATTAGCAGGAAGAGCCTTTTGGTACATCCAATAATGCACCAATGTCAAGGTCCAAATGTATAACAAGTCTAACATATCTTTCAACTCCCATGTCTATTGCAAAACACCCTAGAAGTGCAGCTTTAAATGAATAGATATGGATGATGATTCTTCTGAACTGATCATCAGTAAGCAGACGTTTTCTTTACCAAACAAAAAAAAACAACAAACAACCCTGTTTCCCCCAGGAATTAAAACAAACGTGCCTCACCTGTACAGCATCCAAGTTTCCAAAGAACTGCTCCACAGGAAGGATCTGATTACTGTCATCATCTGGGAACATAATTCTGCTCGTTTCTTCATAATCCATATGCTCAGGCTCATATTTGTCCCAGATGCTATTCATTACGCAGCTGTCTGAATCCTGTCCCACCATCAGCGTGTTCTCTTTACCTTCCTGTCCTTCATGCTCTGGTGATGCTGAGCACCTCCTCCTGCCAGAAGACTGGTGGCATTCACAGCTGATGCAGGAGTCTCTCTCCAGAGGACCAGCTGCTTTAGTGTTCCCAACTGCTGAGCTGCTCTCAGATGACGAGTTCGCCATTGGACTTTTCACACATCTCCTCCTTGCAGCAGATGTCTATGATACAAAAGTTAAGGAACAAAGTTAGGATGATGTTGGGGTAACCACAGTGGGACTCCACTGCAGTAATCAGATCCAGTTAATTTGGAGCAACTCACAGCTGTCCGGTGTAGGGGTTACAGCTGTAGGGTGTAGATAACTATAACTCCTGCCTTTCTTTTTGACTCATCACACATCTGCAGCATTATGTACACAGACAAAACAAACCTTTCTGGAGTTTCTGGTCTCAGAGCTGCTCTTCCTCTTTCTTGGCTTCAAATGATCAACTTCACCAGGCATCTGCAAAGTATCATGATGTTTGTTTATATCAAGTACTTTATTAATGCAATGACATCGTGGGGAAAAAAACAAACTATGGTTTTAGTCGGCTGAGAGGAAGCCGTCATAATGCCAGCGTTTGCTCCTGCTAAGCAGAACATTAGCAAATGTTTTCACTCCACTCAGTAAAAGAAACTAAATTTATCGGACAGCTGTTTAACGGGGACAGTTTTAGAATTTTCGCTTGCATACAGATTTGTCATTTTCCATTTTAAACACTGTCTTAACAAAAAAAATTAAATAGTGGACAACGTCAATGGATAGCTATAAAGCTGGCTCTGCAGTCCCGCTGAGCTGCTTAAACCCTCCAACAGCACCCCTCTATCCTCCGCCGGCTAAACTCCTGCTAATTTACTGGCAAATTAAAGTCACGTTACTCGTCAACTATGACCCAGTTCTTCCAGTACATCCCTAATCCCTCCAGCGTTGCTTTTTCACATGTAGACGTGCCCGAGCTACGCCGAATGTAAGTCCATAAAAGGCAGCTGATAGTTGAACTGCTAAGACAACAACACCTGCTCAGCACAGCAGCTAGCTTTCGCCTAGAAAAATCAAAGCAATATCGTCGGAAAATAACCCACCCACACCCAGTCAAAAATGCCCCGGGTATCATAATGTGAACCATGCTAGTTATGTTGCTAGAACAATGACTCCAGCCGTCTGTATCGGTACAATAACACCAACACGAAGGTCACGACGAAGCTAGGCGTCACTAAACACAACAAAAACGCCTAATTTCGACATCTCGGCAACAAGCTAATGCGGCCAGCTACGAGCTAACAGTAGGAGAGAAAAAAATAACTAATTTGACCTGCCTGCCGGTTTTCTCATTTAATTAAACATGTACTTACCTTATGTATCATTTGCCGGCGTGGATATTTAGGTTTTTCAGCTACGATATTGAAAGTTTACACCACCTTGGGGGTTTTCTGGCTTTCCAATCGGCTGGCTTCAACTAGCGACTAAACAACGGCGATAATTTTACAACGTAAGCGCTCCCCGCCGCCTACCCGGTGTATTTCCTGCTGGTGAGGTTCACTCAGAGGTCTGCAGTTTCAATATCAGGACGTCCTCTGCGCCACACTACACCGCCATCGACGCCACCCCGTACTAAAGAGCATTAGATAAAATAGAGAAAAAAATAAGTATATCTTAAAATGCACGTGTTATTTTATATTTATATATATAATATTAGATTTCTATTACAAAATATATATGTAATTAAAAGTAGTTTAGTTCGAGGGGTTTGTAAATGCTTTTTACTAGATCTATTTTTCTATGTATGTTATTTTCGTTTAGGTTTTTTCCCCCCCACTATTTTAATATTTTATTTTTTGACAAACTTGGCTTTCTCCACTTTTACGCCATCTCAGTGATTCTGCGGGAGTTGTTTCCACCCATCTCGTGACTTGTGCTAATGAAAGGGGTTCTCGTGACACGCTGGTTCACAGTAAGCTCGTATTTCTCCGTGTTATTTTTGAGAGATTGGACAATCATACGTAAAATGCCAGTTCACGCCATGTTTCAAAGTTTGGCTTTTGTTTAGCAGTGACGTATGAAGGAGGAGATTCCGGAAGTCGAATGCAGTTCCAATCGATGTCCACAAGATGGCGCAATAAGGTTTTTAAAGAAGCGTCTAATTCTTTTAGTCAGCCAACAGATCACACTGGCTTCGGTTTTAACAGCTATGTAATAATTTAGAACATACAGTTGACTCTGTCCGGTAACAAAACAATAAATAAACATAATTTAGAAATCATTTCATGTTCTGTCACTGACATGTGCATATATGCACTCAAGGAAATAGTCAGGTTGTATAGGGCTAAAAATTCATCTGTCCTCATGTGTTTCATTGATGCCTCTAAGGCTTTTGATCGAGTGAACCACAGAAAACTTTTTGATAAATTGAAGACACGGGGAGTTCCTCAATACATCGTGAGGATTCTCTCTTACTGGTACGCTCATCAGAACATGCAGGTTAAATGGGGAAGCAGTATTCCTGCCCCCTTTGGTGTCAGCAATGGTGTCAGACAGGGTGGGATTTTGTCTCCAATTTTATTTAATTTATATGTCGATGATTTGTCCATACAGCTGAGAGCCTGTAACACTGGGTGTATATTAGGTGAAGCACTGATAAATCATCTTATGTATGCAGATGACCTGGTTGTTTTTAGTCCAAGCAGTGCTGGGTTACAGGATCTTCTTAATGTCTGTACTGAATATGGTGTGCAATATGACATTGAGTACAATGCTGCTAAAAGTGCTGTTTTGATATGTAGAACCAAGCAGGATAAACAGCTAAATTTCCCTTTGTTTAAACTGGCACAAAAAACTCTTGAAGTTCATAAAAAGGTGAAATACCTCGGTCACTTTATTACTGAGCAAATGAATGATGATGATGACATATACAGACAACGATGTAAGCTCTATGTGCAGGCAAATACTATTGCACGCAAATTCAGCTTTTGTTCACTTCCAGTTAAAGTGGCTTTGTTTAAAGCGTATTGCACACCGCTATATACTGCCCCCTTGTGGTCATCCTACAAACAATGTAGCATGCAGAAGCTGCATGTTGCATATAATGATGCGATGAGAATCCTTTGCAGGATACCTAGAAGTGGTAGTGCCAGTCAGATGTTTGTAGCTGTGGGTGTCTGGACTTTTAAAGCACTTTTAAGAAAGTTAATGTTCAGTTTTAGAGAACGACTGGATGGTTCAAGTAACAGTATAATTTTAGCACTTACAGATCCGACAGTGAGTGGTTCCCGTTACTCATCCAGTCTCAGAAAGCACTGGTTAAAGTGTTTGTGTATTTATTGATTTATTTTAAGTAATTGTGTTTTATGTATATTATGGTTTTATATTTTTACAAATGCTTTATATACTTATTTATATACATATATATATTTAATGGTATACCTTGTGTTGTGTGTGTGTGTGTGTGGGGGGGGGGGGGGGGGGAGTTGTGTGTGTGTGTTTCTTGTCTTGTTTTTATGGACATGTAGTCTGCCAATAAAGATTGAATTGAATTGAATTCATCGAACAGTTCCAGTCAGGAGGCTATTGATTGCCTCCCTCTCCTCCAGAGCAACCGACAACAACACGCGGCAACAGATGGTGGGGCCCCACGGATCTCGGCGTCACGGACTCAGTGGGATTGTTGTACGTTAGGAGACAGAAAACACCGAGACAGCTCGAGGAGGGCTGTAGTCCAGTATTTCTCACCTAGCACTGGAATTAAAATTGGACTGTCAAACTTCTTTAGAAAATCATCATCGCTGTTCCTTTATAAACGCTGTGGTGTTTGTTTTATTCCTCACACGTAGATGGTTGTTGAATTATTTCTGAATCATTGCGTTGTATTTTAGTACTGTTTTCTATCACTTGTAATCATGAAAATTAACGCGGATTAAAGGAGCTACTGATATTTAATATTAAGAATAAGATAAGGTTGTGGTGGCTAGTGGATCGCAAAACCTGGTGAACTCTGTGTGTGTGTGTGTGTGTGTGTGTGTGTGTGTGTGTGTGTGTGTGTGTGTGTGTGTGTGTGTGTGTGTGTGTGTGTGTGTGTGTGTGTTAGACAGAGAGAGAGAGAAATGGGATATCTGCCGGTCCCAGATCAGTTTAGTTCATTAAGGGGAGGAGATATTTGGGGGGTGGGGTGAGATAGTGGTATCCTCCATCAGGTCTCCAGATAGTCTGTGTGGAGCCAAACCCTGAGAAGAAGCTTCGGGACGAACTAGACAGCAAAAGGGACGAATGTGTGACTTCACTCTGCGCTGTCATGGTCAAGAAGTGGCCAAGGAGACACTTGACTGAGCGCTCTTACCCGGTGTCTTCCTGAGGTGCGCTCAGTTGTGAAACATTATGAAGGCATCTGAGGGTCCCAGCGTGTCACGGTGACAGCAATGGATCACTTTTTTCGTAGAAAGCGGATCCCCGCTTTTCTGAAACCTCTGTTGAGTCTGTCTCTGATCTTTGCGTCTTTTCTCATGATCCAAAAGCTGAAACTGTCGGAGAAAGACGCAGTGGGGGTTAAACATGTGAGGGATCCGGCCTGGTGCGGCTCTGAGTGTTTTTCATTCAAGAAGACAGTTCTGACCAGTTCGGGGACCTCAGATTCTCCCGTGTCCGTCAAGGATTTGGAGATACAGCGGGTCCCGAATGTAACTCGGTCTTCTTGGGACGCGCAGGTTCTCAACTGTAGCGCGGACGCATCGGTGAGGACCCAGGACTGGTTCCGGCGCTTGGACCAGAGATTTCACCAGTTTGTGCTTCACAGACACTGCAGGTATTTCCCCTTGCTCATCAATCACCCGGAGAAGTGCGCCGATAGAAACGTTCACCTCCTTGTGGTGGTCAAGTCCGTTATCGAGCAGCACGACCGGAGGGAGGCCGTGCGTAAAACCTGGGGGAAGGAGCAAACCGTGAATGGGAAGAAAATTAAAACTTTGTTTTTACTCGGAAGCCCAAACACTGGCAAAGACGCCAAGAACCTACAGAAACTGATCGAGTATGAGGACCAAATCTTTGGGGACATCCTGCAGTGGGACTTCATGGACACTTTCTTCAACCTGACTCTGAAAGAGGTAAATTTTCTCAAGTGGTTCTATATCTACTGCCCCAAAGTGCAGTTTATATTTAAGGGGGACGATGATGTGTTTGTGAACACGCACAACCTCCTGGAGCTCATCGACTTCAAAGTGGAGCAGCGCAAAGCGGCCAACTTATTTATGGGGGACACAATCTCCAAGGCGATCCCCATCCGAAACCGACAGAGCAAATATTACATCCCCAAGGAGTTGTACGACAAGCCGTATCCACCCTACGTGGGAGGTGGGGGGTTTCTGATGTCCGCCTATTTAGCCCGAAGGCTCTTCGTGGCCTCGGAGGGCGTGGAGTTGTACCCCATTGACGATGTGTTTTTGGGGATGTGCCTGCAGAGGCTCCACTTATCCCCAGAGATGCATCCGGGCTTCAGGACATTCGGCATTACCAGACGCAGGGCGAGCACAATGAACACAGAGCCCTGCTTTTATAAAAACCTAATCGTGGTCCACAAACTGAGCGCGCAGGAGCTGCTCAGGATGTGGAGCGTGGTGCACAGCCAAGACCTGATCTGCGCACAAAAAACTTCGATATGATTGACAGAAAGTATAAAGTATAAAGTAAATGCATTCACTAAATCTGAGCTCACGGAAAGTCTTCTTTGGCCGATCACACTTGATGATCTTTACGCAATCTGCGGAGTCACGTTAATTTTTCCTTTACCGTTAGACATGGAAGATGAACTGAATTTAATACTGTGTGTCACATTAAAACGGTTGATTTGTTTTCAGCTGACTCGGCAGGTTAGCGCTCTCCTCTCCACTTCTGTATGGGTTGATTTTCCGTTTTGTAAAAACCACTAGAGCACAGCTTTTGCATTGTGAAAGCATCCGTGTTTCTGTGCCATTCCAGACTGTATTGCCTTAATCTGAATTTAAAAACGTATTTAGAGACGTAGATGTAATAAACCCACGGGTGTTCGTGCAGGTGCGAAAAAGACTGACTTGTTACATCTAAGTGTTTCCCTTAAGCTTTCTTTTCCGACTTCAGGATTTCATTGCAACGTTCAAGTGCAACATGCGACTACATGATTTACAGCATAGAACACACAGCTGCATTCATATTTGAATGATTATTTTATTGAATAGAAATTGTAAATTGTAAAAATCTAATTATGGGTATTTTAAAGATAATATATTGGTTCTGTTTTACCTTGTTTTGTAAGATTTACAGAGGCAGCCTTGAAACCAAAGAAACCACATGTGTAACACTGTAAATTCATGTGTGTTAGTGTCAATAAAACCAGAGCTCTCTTGTAAACACTGAATAACGTTGCAAAACTTGATTGATATGTGTTTTATATTGCTCAACAATAATCCTGGAAGTTGGACACTGCCCATTTTTTTAATACACAGGGGGCTCCTAAACAGAGCCGTGTATTACATGTAACTTTTATGGGGAATTTTGATTACATGGAAGCACATGTGCAATAATCCCTGAATAATGATTTATTTAACAAATACATCTGCAGAAAAAAAGAAGTCAAAATGCTGTTGACTACAAATGCATGAACACAACTTTTACATCTACTTTTGCTGCAGCTCTCAGTACAGAAGCATACTAAAGCAAGTTGTTTCCCCACTAATAAAACATACGCTCACATTAACGTTATTACCGTTTCCAGATACATCACAATCACTTTGTCGTCATCATAACACTGTGCAGCACAACAGGAGCACAACTGAAGAGATAATTATAAACCAGGCTTAATGTTATATGTAGGATTTAACTTTTTAGCTTGTGATTCTATCAGTTTGAAGCCAGTGATGTGATTCTGAACACTGGAGGGAAAACCATGTGGTGTACATACAGTATGTAGCATATTCATGTCCACTTCTTTCCTCATTCTAGCAGTGCTGTTTCACTCAGAGACCTACTTTGTCTCATTTTACTTCTACTTCATACTATCAGTAGGCATTGTGGAGGGAAGTAAGTCACTGCAGTGTGCTAGAAATTCAGCAGTAAAACATCATCCTTTGGCAAAGTGCTATTTCTATATAGAATTCTTATAAAAGGAAAGCAAATATGTAAACAGTTGGCTAAGTGTGAAGTCGACAGCAAAGCTTCCCTCAAAGCAAAGAACATCTTCTGCTTGTAACTAAACTGTGATCTCGTTCCGCCTCCTGTTACTGGGTGTGCAAGAAGGTATGAGTCATCGTCTTCTGAAGGGATGTAGCAATTAGACATATTTTTACTGAAACTGCGACGGTTACCCATAGAAGTTTCTCAACCCATTCATCTGGTGTAGTCCGATTCTACACAAGAAACTGTTGATTTTAGTTCCATGGGACAGCTAGCTATCTGCAAGGTGCATGGATCAGAGGATGAAATCTTAAAAGGTCCAAACTTGCACTAGCACATTTACATAGATGAAGGCAATAAGCCTCTTCAAACTCTACAATTTGAAGGTTAGGATAAAATAAATGTTTACATGCTACACTTGTTTGTTTGTTTTTTAGGTGTGAGAAAATCGTTGCGATAGCACGTTTATACGCGAGAGCTTGTACTGCAGTTTAAGGATGTATAAATTATAAATTGCAGATAACCACTCAGAAACTAATCATAAAACCTCACTACACTGGTTGCATTATGAGGGGTCAACTTCTAAAACACAAGCCTAAAGTTCTATCACCCTGTACACTGCTGCTTTACCTTTACACAAACTCTGTTTAAAATCCATCTTGTGAGTCACACAAAGTCACAGTTGGGAAGTGCGGTCCAACAGTGAGGGACTACCCGTTAAAGCTGTACAATTCCTCTAAATGGCAGTGAAAAAAAGAGCCTCAAAACCAACAAATCCTATAAGGGGATTTCAGCAAACAGCACTCTGTGTGCCTATGTTTACTTGACAGGTGTGTGAGAGGCTAGAGGCTTGACGTGTAGTGAAAAGCATTTTCTGTTCTGTGTGAACTTTGTCGCACATAACAGGATTAGAATTTACGTCATCGTCTCAACAATGGGTAAAACACCGTGTTGTAATTCTGTGATCTTATAAGACTTTAAATATATTAATGGCTTCAATCATAAAGTAATAATGGCTTTAAATATATTGCATATGTCAGTGAATACATCTGAAGCGTCTCAAAAGTGCCCGAATGTGGAAATAATGGAGTGGGTGGGGTCGTCTGGTACTGTTGGCTTTCTCCTGTTGAAGTGTGAGGGGACGTCTCTGGGCTTCTTCAGACCAGCTTTAATGCTTCCCTGGTGGATACCCTCTGGCTAAAGGAGCCAGTGATGGGATTCGGCTGCCCCTGCCCATGGGCCTGGCTCTGGCTCGGGCTCCATATGACCTGACCTGCTTTAGCTTGGTTCCACCGAAAGCTCTGCCTGGAAACACCAAAACACATATGCACAAACAAAATGGTACTTTACAGTAAACTGATAGAGGAATAATAAAGCAGGGAGCCTTTATATTCTTGCATGCACTTTGTCATTAACCTCCCAAGACCTGGCCTAAAAATATTATGTAAAAGTATTATGTAAGAAAGGGCTTTGAAAGAACCAGTAAACCTGTATCCTAGCTTATCTGAGTCATTAACACAAATATGCTGAATAATGTTTTACGTTATAATGCTACCAATAAAAATTAGCAACTCCCTTTGAGTCGTGTGATCTGATATAAATTTTTTTTCGAAAACCTGGTTCACTATTGTCTGTTTGATGTATTCAGAGGACCAGCTATCTTGGTGATAATGGTTAGCATCATCCTGTTTTCCTGTTTAATGCTACATACTGCAAAATGTAGGTACTGTCTAAATATTGAATTGATAACGACAGGGGAGCTACAGTTTAATGCGCTTGTAGGATAAATATTATTAATCATACTGATCAACAGGGTCAAAGAAGAAATCAAACTTTTATCTGATCTGTGTGTGTGTGTGTGTGTGTGTGTGTGTGTGTGTGTGTGTGTGTGTGTGTGTGTGTGTGTGTTCTTATTACACATTCTAGGAATTATTATACCACAAAACTTCAAAGCCCTACATTAAATAATATGTATTATGTAAATGTAAGGTGAATGTGATCATTTTATCATTGCCCAGGCTCTTCAAAAGCTGGTGTATCCTCCTTTGAGCTTTCACCTTCACACTCTAATGTCTGGCCCTCCTCCACTTCCTCTCATGACAGCGCTACGTTGCACAATTTTGAGTAAAATCCTTTCCGTCTCACCTTGTCCTCCACCACAAAGGACACCGAATGAAAGTAACTATGTGATTTTTAGTAACAGAATCATAACATCTGTAAAAACCTGTTAGCCCAGCCCCAACAAATGAGTTGTCAGCAGATAGCACAGGATTTCCTCTTGGCAGAAGACGCTGTAGATTACATAAAAGTTCTCAGTCGTGCCCTCCACAGAGGACAAGAATAAATTGTTCAGGAGACAGTGGCGTGTCTAGAAAATTTTTGTTGGGGGGGCCAGGTAGGGGCACAGATTTGGAGAAGGGTGGCAGATGTAATTGGCAGATAATGTTTAAAAAAAAAATTCTACCAACCGTTTTCCATAATTCAATAACCCTATAAACCTAATAACCGAATGCACTTTTAACTCTTATTAGAATGAGATTTTAACCACTACGGTGCAAAGTTTTTAAGATATTGTGTTGATAAAGTACAAGAGATACAATCAGTGCTTTGTCAGTGTTTATTCAGCATTCAAGGACTTCAATATTTGCATAGTATTTTTACTGACATATAGTGCACATATGTTTTGGGCAAAAACATTTTTGAATATTAAAATACGAACATTTGTAACAAACAATTGGCAAATTAGCCAATGCCAATGTAAAACTTTATCTGCCTGTTAAAAAAAGAAGATAATCTTCTTACAAACTGTTGTTTGATTTTGAAACAGGAAAAAAGTGGGGAAACAACTGATAAGACTAACATTTGAATAAAACCTGAAAGCAAGTAAATACTTTCTATGCTGCCTTATGGTAAACTTTAGTAATATTAATGTATAAAGAACAACACTGGCTGATGATAAAATACAGTCAGCTGGCATGGTGACACTGCCAGTATTAACCTGCAGGGCTGGACTGGGACAAAAAATTGGGCATTTTGACTACAGACCGGCCCCCCAGGTATTAAAGCCATAAAGCCTTTGAATGAAAACAAATGCTGTTGTGACAGTGATGTACACTGTCTTTTTGGTATATGTATGATTTCTATACATTTTAAGATAGATAAAAACTTTGTTCGCAAGATTCAGATAATTATTTAATAAAAGCTAGATATTTTAAATGAGAATAAGAAAGAAAAGTATTTCTTTGTGCCCACCTTTCCCTGTTAATGCCCTACCTGGCCCCCCTGGCAAAACTTTGCTAGACCCGCCCCTGCACAGTTACTAGCTGTCAGCTACTTAGAAAAGGATCCTGGTGTTATTTATCTCTCAGAAACAGTTCATAACTTCCCTTCAACTCATTCATGTCACCTAAAAGGTAAACCTGTTTCTCCATCACAGCTCTGATGATTCAGTAAGGACATCTCCTGGTTTCATCTTCATGTTTCCCTCTCACCAGATAACCAAACCGACATCATGACCAGCAGCTTTTACGGCTGTGGCTCCAGCAAACATCAGCTGATACTAGAAATTAATATTAAATAAATTCTAACAACAGCTGATCAAACTTAAACGTGCTGCTGTTGTTTAGCATGACATCCGCTGGTTTCCTCTTTCTGGCGCAAAGTGGGCGATAAACAAACAAGAGAGAAAAGCCAATCAGCTGATCATTGATCAGTTTCATGATTGAAGTAGGAACAGGAGAGGGAGGGGAGAGAATGAGAGAAGAAGTTATTTTTACACATCGGCCAGCATCTGGCCAATCCACCACCTGTCATTGTTCATGTCCTTACAAAAAAAAAAGAAAAAAAGTCATCAACCCACCAGGCAAATGCCCAGTATGCCTGATGGCCAGTCCAGCTATGTTAACCTGTTAATCTTTCGCCGAAATTTTTTTCTGCGGTGCCGTCTTTCGTGCTTGGCTCTCCTTCCTTTGCTAACATGATGCTCATAGTGCAGAAGCCGATGCTACATTCACTCACACTTGGATATCTGAGTTTCACTGTGAAAACATAATCATACATTTGATATTTCATTGAATTTTATTGTTTTAGCTCCGGGGTGGCCAGTCTGGTTGGGGGGGGGTGGCCTGTGCCCCCCCCAGGCCACCCCGTTGGACACGCCACTGTCAGGAGACTTAACAAAGAAACCTGTAATACTAGAAAGGCCAGTATAAACAAAAAGGTTTTGCGATGTCAGCATAACATGGTGATGTCATTCTGATTAAATCAAACGCTTATTGTTTGTGCTATAAACCAGTGATGCACCTATACGCCACTTTTCCAAATGTGAGCTGGAAAGAATTTCAAAGACGGCCAGTGAGAATGAAAACATGAAGATCAACTGCAAAAACAGTCAACTTATGAAGCAACATTTTTCAGAGCAGGTCCCTGGTTTCATATGTTTCAAGTTATTCTCACGATGGTCATTTGGTGGTAGTAGCATGCCAAAAGATTAATAAAATGTAGGTGTACACTGTCAACAAAAAAAGCTCCACAGGACAGCTTCAAATGATCCATGGCCCTAAAGTGTACAGTGAACTAAAGGTTCTCTGGCATCAAATAATGTAAACAGTAATACGGGCTATTTTAGCATCACCACACAATCAGGTATGATACAAAAAAACAAAACAATCAATCACACATCCAAAAAGGAGGGTTCTAGCATACATCAATCTAAATGATACACTAAAGCCCATTACACTAGACTCCAAATTAATCTCTCACTATAATTTACATACATCCTTTTATCAACTAGGGGACAAAACCACAGTGGAAAACTGCTGAACGTGGGTGCTTTCTGTACCTGTCACAGTAAGCGTTGGGAAAGTGGCTAAAAAAGAAGAAAAAAAAACGGGATGTGTATGAATGCTTTACCTTGTGCTGGCTGGGTTCTTTGGGATGCCGCAGTCCTGCGTGAGTTTTGTTTACAGCCCTCTCTGCCCATGAGGTGAGCCTTCCAGGCCTGGAACAGGGACAAAGTAGCTCAGTGAGTTTGCTCCTCTCCCAGGCACTTTCACGACTGCAACAACCATGGGGTTACTGTAGGCCCAGTCAAGGCCTGAATGGCTGCCCTCCCTACCTACTAACACTGCAGTCTTTCATTGGGCTTACAGCCTCTCCTCCAGCAAAGAGAGTGCAACTTTCTGTGAGTTTTTTCTCCCTTATGTGAGGGCGTGAAGTGAGAAACTGCATGCAGTGAGTCAAACTTTTAATGAGAGCACAAACGCATCGCAGGAAAGGCTCAATAATACTTTGCACGTGTCACCATAAAGTTGGAAAAAATGATGTGTATAATCTATATCTCGTGTTTTGTTTAGGCTGCAAGTGATTTTTAAGGTTTAAGAAGTTTAATCAATAATTATTCTTGTGATTCTTTGTCTTTTTTGAATTGTTCTTAACTCATATTTTGTCATACCAACAGGACTAAATGGATATTATTAAATACACCTGACAAGCAAGCTGTACTTATGTCATTAATATTATTACAGTTAAAAATATTTAGTGAAAACTCTGAAACCTCTTTCCTCATTCTAGTAATTCCGTTTCATTTAGAGACCTTCTTTGTCTCTTTTTACTTTGACTTCAGATTGTCAGTATGTACTGAGGAGGGAAGTTAGTCACTGTAGTGTGCAGTAAAGCATCATTCTTTGGCAATGTGCCTTTCTACATAGAATATTAATGAAAGGAAAGGATATTTGTAAACAAAGGGCGATCGAGTCAAACTGTTGCATTTATCCATATATAAAAAGGACCATTACTACATTATGTTTACAGCTTTGCTTTAGTTACATTTCCTTTTTTTTCCTTGGAAAAAATTAAACATCTGCTCTACAGATTCTGCCAAGGGAAATTAAGTAATATATGACATCCACAAACTTTCCCAACAGTCACACCTTTAGGTCTTTATGCCCTGGTCTATTAAGTGTCTCAACAATGTTGCTGCTAACTGAGGCAGGCGGGGCGAGCACACTTGCAGGAAGACTGTGTCTTTGAAACATGAGTTGCATGATTCATTAGGCCCCACAAAGACACAAACCAGAACGAAAGATGAATGAAACGGAGAACCAAGCGTTGCGTCTCCTTGTGAGACAGAGAATCTTGTTCGCTCCGTATCCACTTTCACCTTCCCAGACACACCAAGGAGAAGCATGGATGGCTGTGCGACTCCAAAAGCACTGAAATACGAGCACTGCTTTTTAAAGATGACACAAAACTATTATCCCTGTGTTTATATTACATTCAACAACTTCTATTCAAATGTGTATCCAAGGTTTATTTATATTTCCCATTTGACGCAGTGACTGTCAAATCTTGAATAGAAACAAACGGGATGAAACTTTACCTGCATAATACCGAGCTGTGAACTGTGTCAGCAGCCAAACTGCCGCTGTTTCAAATAAAATGTGGTCTATTTTGCAATTGTAGGAAGATGAGATGTGTTCATTGTCTATGTGTGAATGTGTTTCTAATCCACGCTGTAGGTATTATTAATCTCTGGTTCTCGTCCACAGGGCATCTTTGTTTTGTATCCCTCCTCTCGCCCTTCCCTAAGCCTGGTTCTGCCAGAGGTTACTTCCTGGGAAAAGGGAGTTTTTTTCTTCCCACTGTTGCCAAGTACTTGCTCAAAGGAAGTCATCTGAGTGTTGGGGTTTCTCTGTATTATTGTTTACCTTACAATATAACTTGCAGCTTTGCAGTGACTGCTGTTGTGATTTGGTCGTATACAAATAAAATTAATTAAACTGAATAATCTGTATCCGGTTAAGTTTTATCTATGAGCAGCTAATCAGAATCTTTTGTCTTTTGTTCTTCTGAGACTAGCAGGAATGTGAGGAATGTGATTGTAATTACTTCATCTTCTCAGTGAAACAGCCCATTAAGAACAAAGGCTTTGCTTTCTTTGAAGTCCTTAAAGGTCAACATTAGCTGTGCTTTACTTCAACACCTGTTTGCTGCTAAAGCCTCGTTTGTGAAAGGCTTCTCTGTTTTATTATATGTGAAGCATTTCTACTTCTGCTTCTGACAAAGAAGATTTCTGCATATGCCAATAAATCAATGTTGAAACTTGTTGCCATTATTTCATAATTAACTAACTGACTTGTGCAAGTACACAGTCTCACCTCCTCTCCGGGCGTGAAGTTGTTGTGACACAGAGGACAGTGGTTGGAGCTTTTACCCAAAACGGGGGCTGAAACACAAAGATGACACCTTCAAGTCAGCTCTTACAGAATTACAGAAAAGTTCCCATGAATGAATTTACAGTACTGAAAGAAATCTGCTTCAAACAAAACACAGCTTTGAGCACTGGGTCTATTTTGGGAAACGTATGCTTACGCACAAGTGAAAGTTTTGTTTATCTGCCTAACCAACAGGAACTACTGTAAACAAAAGGCTTGCCGTGTCAATTACTCATGGAACATTTGGAGAAGTGGTGTAAGCCTTGCAGTGTTTTATTGCAGAATATTGAAGATGCTGGCTTTGTGAACATGTGTAAATGCGATGGAGCAACGGTACCCAACTATGAAAAGAGAGGTTACAAACTCTCAGACGGAACGGTTCAATAATTTGAGTCAAACGCAATCAAAGAAATGTACAACCACAGGGTGCTAAACCCAAAGTCAGTGGAAGAAACCCAGAGAAAATCGAGTTAAAACCAGGAAGAAAAGTACACGAGGGGAAGCAGGTTTATCTATAGGGGAATAATTAATCACTATTTCAGGAAGTATGCCTTCTGAAACTAATAAAATGCTGAAATCTGACAGAGGACATTTTTGCAGTAAAATAAGGAAGGGAAAATCCCAACACAGACATGGATTAAGAGAAACGTAACTAAAGGATAACTAAATAGCTAAGTTACTGTAAAACTGCAAAAAACAAAAACAAAAACAAAAAACAAGGAAGCTGTGGAGCTGGCTGCTTTTGCAAACCTGATGTTTGCAGGCCTACGAGAGACTGATCATTCACTCCAAATGATATGCAGCCAAATAGTCAAGACTTTATTTGCATGCTAGTTTGCTTGTCATGGACCCAAACGCAAACTCACGAGAAACGGGATTAAACTCAAAATGGCAGCTTTTTATTACCGTGAACGTTATGATATGGCCCAGCCCTAGATCCAAGGGAAGCGAAACTCAATACATTCACATAGGACACAGACCTTCAAAGTAAAACAGGAAATGTAACATAGACGCAGACTTGACTAGGGGAGACAGAGCAACTAAGAAACACAGAGAACAATAACAGGGAGACACAGAGGGCGGCTAACTAAATACTCAGAAAACTAAAGAGAATACAAGAAAGCCAAACTAAGACACTAGACTAAAGAATAAACTGGGGCAACAAAGAGAACTAAGATCATAATACAAAAACTCAGACACAAGAAACTCAAAACACTGGGTCACCGACCCAGGACCGTGACAGTGCTCCAGGATTACAGAGTTAAAAATGTAAATAATGATGTAAATGAATAAATAAATAGTACATTTACAGAGAGCATGCAGCTCAGTAGAAATCTTCTTTTAGTGTGTATTAGTTATTATTATTATTGGACCTCACCTCCTGTCACCTGGCTAACACCTGACTAACAAATCCAGGGTAATATACAAGGTTAGGAAAATGACATGTTTTTAGAATGTAAATGTTTTGCTTTTGTTTTTATCAGGTCAAATCTTTGAACTGTTTTTTTTTCTTCCCAGTTTATTATTTCATGTAGTTAAACCAAAATAGATCCAACCTTGAATTACCAAAGATTAAAAAATAGCTGCATTATATATTGTGGAACTGCTGCCTTATTACTATTATTGGATATTCACTGGTTCAGTTTTGATTTTATGAAATTGTCATTCGCTGTCATGTACAGTTTTTTTTTCTCAGTTACACTCATATAAGTGAGGCCTACCATGCACAGACCAAGCTCTCACAATCATTCCTGCCTACCATTTTGCCACCTAATAATGAAAGTGATAACAGAGAAATATTAAAAAAACCGAGTCAGTTTCCTGCTGCATGGAAAATCAGAGAGAACTCACGATTGCAGCCAGGACCCTGAGCGTGGTGAACCAGGTCCTCGCTGGCCACAGCCTCTGAGCAGAGTGGGCACTGGCTGAATTTGGACCTGTTTTCACATTCACCCAGTAGGTGCTCCGTAAGGCTGGCTATTTCAACTACCTGTGAACACAATGCAAAGCTATACTCAATCAACTTGGTAATGCAGAACAGATACTTTCAGCAGCTGGATCTAACTCTTTGACTTCAGCTCTATAACAGAAGTGAAAACCTAGTGAGAAAAATAAATAAAAAAATTAGCAGTCTACCTGTCGACATTCGTCGCAGCGCTGCAACATCGGACAATGTTTCCAGTAGTGAAGGTCCAATCCGTCTTCTGTGAAAGACTCGTCTTTTTTACCGCAGAATATACACAAGCTACAACAGAGTGTAAAGTTAGAGGATCAAATGGTACCAAAGTTTACCATAGGACAATTACTGAACACAACATGAAAGATAAATGAATACCTCGACTGGAAAAAGCAGTGAATACACACTAAAAACTAAATCTCTCAAAAATAAAGGCCATTTGAGTCATATATATATAGCTTACAAGATTTTAAGGAACATACTTGTCCAGACAGTTGATTGATTGTTGGACATTACAACTTTCCATCCTCTTGTTCTGGGACCCTTTTGTGACAGCTGGAAATTAATAAGACAGTTATCTGTAACAGCCAGCACTACTGAATCAAAACCCATATTGTAATTCAGAATTTGCATGACTGATGTGTTATTCTATTAACCCTACAATGCCCTTTGTAACGTATTTGATACATGAGTTTCTGAGACCTCTATCTCATCAACATGATCAATACTTGCCATAATTTCAAAATGTTATGGACAAAACTATTTTTTTTGTCTAAAATTAACATTGTTGTTAACAAAAAGTTAACAAAAATGCCCAATCTATTAAATGCGATGCAAAAAATATATAATAAATATATAATAAAAATATGTCATACACAACATGATATGCAAAAAAAAAGTGGATTTTGTTATAAGGGTTAATAAACATCTCAGTTGTAAAAAATCCTAATTTTCTGGCTATTTTTTGATGGGGTGGGTCTTACAGGGTTAACAGACCTTTGTGTTTCTACACACTTTAACAAACCCTACCTGTCAAATTTTAAAGCTATTCAAGCAAAGGTAATGCTCACACATGCTGATATAAATTTTTTTACACCATTATTTCTGTATCTAAAGGCACAGCTGAAGTACTGGGGTAATAGGTCATACATAATTTAGTCAAGTGCGTGAGGGACACACTTTAGGTCTCTATCTCAAAATCTGTCAGTGGTATAACAATTAGATTACGGTATAAATTCTGAGGTCGTAGATGCCGTCTGCATACTGTTGTTATATGATGTCTTTTTTTTCACATATAACAATAAACTTGAATATAAACACTTTTTCTTTTCATTTCTATAAGACCATTGATCTGATTATCATAGTCTTATGATACACAGTAAAACACATAAATGGAAATCTGTGTTACAAATTTCAATCCCCTCAAAGGCCTCAAAATTGTTCTTTTGTCAAAATTGCTGGAGGGTCAGGTAAATTACAGCTCAACATAAAGGTGACTTGAAAACACCTTTCCACCTACTGTTTGCATATGAGCAGGGCCTATTTCAAAACACTGAGCTTATCGGCACATCCTTGTCAGCACATAGAAACAAATTTCCCTTTTGTGCATTGCCTCAGACCTTCAGATGTGAGTAGGAACTGAAGTGTGATTTATGTAGGTACATACTTCCCTTGCCAGCTTTCTGGGAATCTTTCTCAGCTTTGTGAACTTCTCGTTTGGCTATTTGTCCTTTGGTGCTTTCATTGCCTCTCTCCTTTACAAGCAGACAAAATATATATATTTATATATATATATATGTATATATATATATATATTTATTTATATATATATATATGTGTAAGAACAGTCAACGTCAAAAAGCAAAGTTCCAAAAAACAAGACATGCAATCATTCGCCTTTAATTGAGACAGGGCATAAAGTGAGGCTATAATGTGTAAGTGTTATATGCATGTGAATTACTTGGTGTGTGACCACCTACGAGGTAAAAATACAGTCTGGAGTCATAAATAGAAATTAACAGTTGTTATGAGATGTGATATCATTGCAGAATGATGACAGCGCAACATACTGTGATCTCTTTTAAGGCAGCCAGCTGCTCCTGAAGAGAGTGGATCTCCTCCTTCTCCTTCTGTCCGTCCGGCTGACCCCCACCTTTCTTTAAAGTCTAGGAGAAGGTGGCATGTCATTAGTCCATTTCATATTCAGTCCTCTACCATGCTTACCTTCTATCAATTCATTTTCATTCTGTAATTGTTAGCTTTTTACACATTATTACCCTTCATTTCTTAAGTTATTAAGGTCTAGAATTAAGGTTACACAAACCTAAAGCTCTTCAGATTGAGGCTTTAGGTGCTATTTTACATAGCCATTCAAATTCTGGGGTAGTTTTAATATTCTTTTTTTTTTGTGCCTGTCCCATTTGGTTCTTTAGCCGTCAGAATTGTTGTCTGAAGACCAACAAGGATACCCAATGGATTTACTTTGCCAAATGGATCATCACGGCCTTGCCGTATTGGTCCATTTGATCAACCTTTGTTGTTATTATTTATTTTATTTTATTTTCAGTTGTTACAGATGGGACAGACATGACTGAGGGATAGGAAAGGGAGAAAGAACGATGAAGGAAAAGAAAAACAGAAGGGAAGAGGGACAGTGAGAAAGGGCACTTAAAAAGAGAAAGAAGAAAAAAAATCTCCTGGATCACCTGTTGAGAGAAAAAGAAGAGAAAACAAGCAAAAAAACCAGAGCAACATACTAAACACAACACCATCACGTTAATCTAGCTAAGTGTAAACAGCAGTAAATACTAAATATTGAATGTTGTTATGTAACAAGCAGGACCGACAGCGCATAATGTGCTTGGAAATAGCAGCAAATAAAGGTGTAGTTTATGTCTATGAACAGTGAACACCTGTGTGCACACCTGTGTGGCTCAGCGTGCTTGTACTCAAAAGGTTTCCCCATGTAATGGTCTGCAAGAGGGTGTAGAGAGCCATAGCCCCGTCCCCCAGGGCATGAAGCAGGCATGGAGGAGATCCAGGCTCCAGACATCCAGAGGCCCCAGAGTGCGAGAGCCCAAGGAGGACCACCGGAGGGGCATCCGTGCCACCTTCCTGGGAAGAGCTGAGGAGAGCCCCAGATGAGGGGTCACCCAGTAGCCACGGAGCAGAAGTCAGAGGAGGCTGCAGTGGCGTGCCCGCCGGCTCTGCTGGCAGCCAGCTGTGCCAGAGTGAACCGAGCCGCAGGCCCAGAAGCTGGAGGCCCGAGGGCCCCCTTTGCCCCGGAAGAGGCCTGACCGAGCAACAGGCACCAGGCGCCAAGTAGTCACCGGGAGTGAGCTAGTGCATACCTGAGCGCCCAGCCCCGGACACCAAGAACCACCAATGCACCGACCCCTGAGGGCATCAGTTACCGGCAGACACAAACATGCATTCCCACCCTCATGCACACATATACAAATACTCAGCACTCACCCAACATAGGGATAGACATACATGGACACTGTACACACAATCACACTCCCCAAACAAACTCTATACCCCAGGTCCAGGTACCCTCACTTCTGGAGGGGGAAACGGCACCTAGACCCAGGAGATGTTACCCTTTCCCCCAGGGGTGGAGGCAAGCATATTGCCCCAGGCTCCGCAGCTGCAGGGAGGCCCCGCATCCCAGATCCCAATCGGACGGCCAACACCTCCTCCCAGCCCCCCCGCCCCGATGTCCAGCAGAGAACAGCGGTGTGTGAAGACCCCAAACCTCCCTCCTCTTGCTCATGTGTAGTGTTGCTGCGTGTTGTTCTAAGGTGCATTTAAAACACGGGAGAGCATGGTGCTGCTGCCAGAGAGCAGCAGGTGTTAGCACGGCCCCTCCCGAGAACCCTCAATGTCTACATGGATTTAAAATTGAGAGGTGGGCACCGGCACCAGAGGTGGGGTTGAATACAGACCGTCCACTGGACGCCGTTAACGTGCCCACCCTCAAGGCCCTATATGTATGTCTTACGAGAGTGTGAGTAATGTGGATGTCTAAGTCGTGGAATAAAATTGAGGCACAGGTGGCCAGAAGGGGACGGGGGTGGATGCCTCCCCTGCACCCTGGTGACACACCCGCACCCCAAGGCCTTAATTGTGTGGGTGGGTGTGTTGGAGCGGGAAGAGGGAGGCAGCCGGGGATGGGGAGGAAAAGAAGGGAGGAGCAAGATGCCCCTCCCTGGGGCCAGCTCCCCCGCTGACCCCAGTAGGCACCCCCGTCCTTCGGCACCCACCAAGGCAAGGGAGCCCGGGCCCATCCTACGGCAGCAGCCCCACAGGACCCGGGGCAGTCCACCCGACCCCACCGCAGAGGAAACTGTGCCCACCCTAACATTCAATCATCTCCCAGACTGCACAAGACAGTAGACACCCAGGTTAAGTTTATTCTCCACCTCTCCTATACTCTCCCCCACCTGCAGAGTGGACTCCTGCAATGATGGAACAAACTCCCTGTCAGTTGAAGAGCCCCCTAGTTAGGCCGATGCGCCAGAGGCCCTCTTCTCTTTTTTTAAGAAGAGAAGATACCAAGTATAAGATAAAAATTTAATACCAGCAATGGGGAAAAGAAACACTTGCCTGAGTCTCTACCAGCTTTCCGTCAATCTTGGCAAAGCCATCAAAGAGGTTTTTGTAGAGGAAGTTCTTTCGGACTGCAGCATCGTTGGGTGGAAGGTAGATTAGGATGGCACTTCTCTCCTTTTGGTATACAGATAAGATGATTCGCACTGCTAGCTCTCGAACTGTTGATGCGCTGTGCGCCAATGCCGCTGTACAGAACTAACAGGGAACAACAGGGTTTCCACAAACATGAAAAGGTCTATATTATTATTCCATTTCTAATCCAAAATATGCCAAAAAAAATTATATAATACACTGAGGTTGAAATATTTAGGGATAATTAGGGATCATCACTTGAGCGACAAACGGCAGTCCATTTATGTGCTGACGTCACAGTTACAATTCAGATTTGAAAAACTATGTGAAAAATCTTTAAGCTGCATTTTTCCAAGCTAAAAACAAAAAGCCAACAGCAAAGTGCTCAAAACAGTCCAGGCTATACCATTTAAAATAGCTAACGTCAGCTATCAACATGCTTACAGACTGGCACAATGAACCATATATAATATCCATTTGGGTGGTCAATGTTTTTGTTTTAAGACATACCAGATTTCCAGAAATACTAAAAGTACCACACAGCAACACCAATGTCCAGTTTAGTACGTCCAGTCCAATGAGCTATCATTTAGACGAGTGAAATCCTAGTATTTTATTTGCTTGTTACTTAGAACATACAGTCAGTTAGTGCAGTTTAATAAACCAAGCCTGCTATCATTAGTTGTTAAATTAATACTGTAACCTGAATATGCTCATTTTTGGTTAAAAAAGAAAGAAAAATATGAAAATGAGGTATCAAAATGTCCATAAAACAGTGTGTTGTCACTGTGGCTACATCCATCTTTTGTATACAGTCTACATGCAAAACACTACAGGACAGTGTTTGCATATTTGGAAGTGCGGAAGACAGTGGATGGATGGATGAACAGACAGACCTGGGCTAAGAGAAAATCATTTAAAATCTGATTACTGACCTTCTACAAGCTTACCTTGTTAACTGTTTCAAACCTGATTTCTTTGGGAAGATATTACATCTAAGAACCAAAAAAGACTGTGCATTACCCCTTTCCTTCTACCATTAAACCTTTATACTGGAACACATACTTCTAAATGATATCTAAATGTATTCACAAAAAAATTAATAAATGAAAAACTCATCTGATTTGGAAAACCACCCCATTTAACAAACTAAAGAGAACTTGTTCGATCGATATCTGCAACAGATTCCGTCATTTTTTGCATTTGAAAGCCACCTCAGGAGATACACACCATTTGTCTTTCTTAGAAAGGCCACGGATGTGTTAAGCTACATCCATATTTACTTACACTCTACAGTATCCGATTTATGCCCAGTTTAGCTTCATGTACAACGTTGTTGAGAGTCCTTTCAGAGGAGTGACAATCATAATATAAAATGAACTTATTATCCAGCATAATTGCTGTGAAGAGAGGGATGATAGAAAGGCCATCCTGCCAGTGGAGGACATTAACATTGAGAAGTAAAGTGTGTACAAAGGCCACCCATCCCTCGCTCAACTGGCTCAGGGACAGCATGCCATTATTCTCTGTTGTATCTTCCAACCCCTTTTTCACTCTGGCTTCCACCTCAGAGTAGATCACCCTAGTAACAGTGGAAAAAAACGGAAATATGTTAGCTAAACCGTAGCTGAGCTGTCGAGGGGGACAGTCACAGGAGCCCAAAGACACGATAAACTAGAATTACTATCTAAGGGCCGTGAACACGTGAAGGTGTGGTTAACAGTAACATGTATGGAAGGCTTTGAATGGAAATAATATGTGGGGATTAAACATGTTTGTAAGTTTTGTGAAATATGCTCACATTCCAAAAAATGACTCTTCACGCTCAATAAACTTGAAATGAAATTCTGAGTAAAATGCTACTGAAATATACATAGTCAAATATGTATTTTTTCAAATAATTACTCATTATGGAAAATGTGCTTAGTATGAACTGAATGTATACCAATCAAGTAAATTTCATTTGACCAGATTTCATTAAATCTCACATTTTACGCTGTACTGATGTAACAGAATTGAAAAACTTCCATGAATGAGGATGGAGTTTTCTTTGCTCCTGAGCTGTGGCCTTAAAAAGTATTCTGAACTACTACAACAGTGAAGTTGACCTTTTGCATGTAAAACCTTATCACTTCAAAGTCTGTCATAATCAGTATCTGGGCTTTTTCCAACTGAAAATGACCTTGATATTGTCATCAGTTCATCCTTCATGTGAATTGAGCACTTGTGCTCGTGTCTTTTTAAAGGGAAAAAACATTTTAGGTGCTTCATCTGCCAGATTCAGTCAATTCAGTAACTTACCTAGCTGCTAGAGCAAATCAAATGAACATAGATAAGCTATGTATGTTTTGCAGTATCATTCAGATCTTTCTCCCTAAGTGTGACAGAAATACGATAACATGGGAAAGTACAGTACTGCAAGGAACGCTCACATGCGCAGTCACCACAATGATGATACGGGCTCAGCTTTGTGGTTTGTCATGATTGCTTTTGTACCCTCAGGAAGAGTGTAGCAGTTCTGTGTTTGCGCAACAGGGATAATTCAAGCAGCCAGCCTGAACACTCTATTCTTTCAAAAAGAAAGTTGCATTACTTATTGTTATGTATCAGACTGAAACTAAACCAAACCATTTCTATTTTTCTGTCTTCACCGTGAGAAATATTAACACCTCTGTTGCAATTTCTCTGATGATGGTTTGTTAAAAGTGCCCGATGTTAACAAGAAGAAGTCTGCGGGTAAAATAGCTCCAAATCTGATTAGCAAGGTGGATTAAGGGATATTGAAGGGAAACATCGGGGACAAGGCAACTAAGTAATAAAAATAACTGGCAATTCATAAATTTCTCATTGACTTTCAGTTTAAACATGCTGTCTGCTCGTGTTTTACATGAAAGCAGAAAGTGTGACAGTCAGGAAAGAAGCGCAGCGGTCCTGTTACATCTCAATTCAGGCAGAAAATATTTTCCAAGCAAACACATGTGGCAGTCAATACAAAAAAGGGTTAGGAGCTATGCAAGCATGCCCAAGCATGCAAACACAGTCCGTGCAGTTCCACCTATGTGGCTTTGGCTTCAATAGGCAGAGAAACTCAGAGGACAAACCTAACAATTTGCTCAAGACTAGGGTTGAATTGGGAGTGGGACGGGGCAGTGCGCGCGGGGGGGGGTAAAGTAGGAGTGGTTAAAAATTACGCACATTTTTAACAGATTCATGAAATCCTTTCCATGAATCCAAGAGGTTTACTTCATATCTGAGTTCACACACTGGTTGGAAAAGCACCAGATTACAGGCATGCTTTTCTCTCTCGTATTTTGACTCGCTCAGCTAATTTAAAAGACCAGGATGTCTTGGAGAAACATGATAATAATGACACGAGGGAAGAAAAAAACTTTTGGAATGAGACACCTGCCATAAGTGTCTTGATGTAATCTCTAATCTCAGCCTCAAAGCTGGTCCAATATGATAAAACACTATGTTAAACTGCACAGTGGACATACATCTGAACATTAAGAAATTTTCACATTTCAGCACCGGCGGTGGTACGCGTACATCACAAATTCTGCAGTTTTTGCACAGTTTGTGAGCCTTTACCATGAGGTGCACACAGAAAAACGAAATCACTAAATACCTTGTTCATATTCGGAGTTTTCCTCAACAGAAATCCTTTAGCTAAATTAATAAAACTGACCTCATGTCATATGTGTCCCTAGACATACTGTCAATCTACCGAACAGCACATACTGTAATACTGCAAGACTGTGGCTTTTTCTTTTACTGTTGCCAGAATAAGTTAATAAAATTGAGAGTAACATTAATTTGAAAGTGACGCATGTCTGAACAAATGACTAAAGCCAGCAGCATTACATGTACTGGTTCTCAAAAAGGTTTCGGAGAGGAGTACGAGACAGTTTGTTGGCCTGCTTCAGTTTAACAGTTGGATAGTTTGCACATAGATATTAGGTCACTGCTGGAAACCAAAGGAGTGCAGGAGACGTTAAAGAGGGTGCCAGCAGTGACAACATTGACTCAGCTGACTGGACATTACTGAGGGCCTGTTTACGTAAATGAATGGCCACAGAAGGCCTGGGAGGGACTGCTGCTTTTCTGTAAAGTCGCACCATAACTACTGACCCAAATTTAACAGAAAGTCAGCTTATAGGACCTTTCCTTATCCTTTTCTACTTTGAAGTGGAATGACACAGATTTCCATATTTTATATAGTTTATATAGTACATATCATGCTGTAATTGCTCTTTCCAGAAAGGAATTAACTATGAATTGAAACACTGCCTTAAAGAAAAACGGCAGTCAATTGTTTAATTATTTATCTGTGAATGTGTATCTTTTTATTTGAGCTTTTGAAATGTTTAATTATTTAAACAAAGTTTGTCCTACTTGACTTAGTAGGCTTTATTTAATTGCACACCCAAAGAAAACACATTAGTACATTCATATTTATAAGTGACATAATTATCACACCAAACATATTTATTATGGTTCAGGTTGTTTACCGTCATAACATTTTCCAGGGTGAAGCCAGAGTTTTCTGTACCAAGTTCAATGAGCAGTTTCTCGAGTAGCTCAGCCCGACTCTCAGCCAGGCGAGAGGGAAAGTTGGATTTGAAGGGTTTCACCAGCTCACCAGGGATCATCTGCAGGGCCCTGACATCCTTCAGAACAGCAATTTCCTACATGAGGGACAAGAGAAATAGACAGCAAGTTTTAAGGGGGGCGTAAATCACGCAATGTATTTGTAGACTTGCACCTGCAAGTCTTGTAGACTTGTAGTACAGAAGTAATGCAAGTGCTATGTACCTCAAACAAATTACAGTGTATGCTTGTGATGCTGCACACGGTAATTTGTCATTCAACATTGGCCTCTGGCATAGGCACAAGTCGTGACAGAAAATACAAGCTGACAATCGGAGTAAAACTGAAGAAGGGTCTTAGAAAACCCTGTCATTGTTTTAACCACATCAGGTGAGTGGAATGTATGTCGGAAATATAGGAAGACACGCAGAAAAGAAGTGTGCAACTGGCCCTCGACACACAAAGAACGATTCAATCAGTCCCTGAGTCAAGCTCTGAACACAATCCAGCAGAAGAGGGGCTGCGAGCTTAAGTCTGCGAGCTACTGAGCGAAAGGGCACCCACCCTTTCTTACTCAACACACGCCCATCCATGAGCACACAGGAACGAATTTGACTAACCAAATACACAAATATACAGTGTACATCATCTGTCCATCCAGCAGCCAAGAAACATTTTCTTCTTTCAACCCAAAAGTCCAAATGAAAGCGTGCTTGTGCAATAAAGAGAATTTCATAGTTGAATTACAGTTAAAACAGAATAACTGACATCAAATGATTATTGTGCTGCATTATGTTTTGTTATCTTGTTTGTTATCTTGCACCAGTACAGAGCACAAATTATACCTACCTATACCACTCCACTTTGGTAATGAAATCACACAAGTGGTGACTTCAGCGTCTGGGGCCTGTCTGAAGGTTGTGCAGTTTGTTGCAACACCTCAAGACACTTCCTTACTCGCCTTCTGTTTCTAGCTATCTAAAATGCAAAACTCCCCATAATTAAATTTATTTATAATTGACTGCTCTCTTTTAAATATAACTTGTAAGCGATCGTTTAGCCTCCATTTGAGCACACAGACCTATCTTAACGGTTGTCGATTTACATGTCAGTGCATGTGCACTAAGTATATTTAGCAATTAATCAGTTTAATAATGAACCTGTGAAAACACTGCAATACTTTCCCTGAACAGTGCTGCCATCAGACACACCTGATTTATCACTGCATCACTGTTTCCATTCCTTAGTCTTGCAATAATCACTTTAACACTTAAAGTTACAGCATGTAAGAGCCGAAGCGTTTCACTAACTCAATGCCATTCAGCATTTTAAGAGAATGTCTTCTTTCTTTTTGTAGTGTTTAAGCACTGCTGACGTGTACACACGGAGCTTAGTAGTTTCTACTCATTTCCTGACCACTAATATTACGTGATGCAAGTTTATACGTTAATGTCAAATCATCACTACATGAATAGTTCAGGTCTCTCCATCCATGTCTACATCAACCGGGTTTATAAACAAACAAAGCAAAAACTAAATGCACAGCTTGCATCTCAAAGCCAAGCCAGGAGCTACAAAGAACCTGTAAGAAGGAATGTTGTCCTGCGTGCTACGTAGTGCATGCTTCAAGTCCACAATCAGTCACCACACCTTACATTAATTATGCATGAAACTGCTTTGTCCATTGTCTTCTTTTTATGAATGCCTTTAGAAATATTGGACAGATTAGTCATGGCTGGAGTTTTCAATGCTTAGAAAAATTAACTGGACTAACTAGACCTAAGTGTTGCTATGATGTTTTACCAGTTTCATAGAAGTCATCTTCCACACTCCTAATAGTATTTCTACTTAAGGGGATAACTAATAATTATTTTAAGAAGCATTTTGATATATTTACCAGTATTTAGCCCCAACTTTAAAGTGACATTCTAAGAAAACATCATTTGTTCATTTTTACACTGGAATAAGGACCTTGGATGTTTATGCACAAAGAACAGAAAATATTATACTTTGCAACAACCAATCCAGTTTTAGGGAGATGAAACAGCATATTGTGCTAAAAATGGTGCCTCAATCCAGATATACAGAGGCATCACACAAAAGTAATACTTTTTGGAGGAGCACTGGGAGGAAAGTTGGATTGAATTTTGCACATGTTGGAACTCTTCGGTGTCTTTGATTATAGTGTAGTATTTATTAATACTAATTTGAAAATAACTTTGAATGCAGACTCATGGTGGCTGCCTAAATGAGAAATAAGCAAAGATTTTTACCATTGTGTCATTGTGTGGGAAATTTAGTACTCAACAGGGAAAGCTGTTTAGCTTTAACAAATCCCAGCTATAACATTAGACTGCCATATTTTCTTTATGTACCGTAATTATAAATGGAAAAAGCATGACCTAACTCAAGATGTGACGTTTCAACACACCCACATGCTAATCCTACTGCAGAATATTTTAGTGCTGGCTCACTCTACCATTGTTGTTTGGTTGGATATCAAAGCAAAACTTGGAATTTACCAGTAACCTACCAACAACACAAGCATGGGAATAATGTGAGATGACTCATCAAAAGATTCTGAGAATCTGTAGAAATCTCTGTGTAACTTCTAGCTGAGTTGAGCAGCTACAATGTCATACCAGACAAGAATAGGGCATTCCTCTGGTGTAAAAACTGTGTAAAACTATGCATGCCAAAGGTTGTTACTGCTGGCATTCTTTTTTCTCCAAGTTCACCAGTTCATCCTGTGAGTTAGGTGACTTTTTTGTTTGAATGAATCATAGGTCAGTTGGTTTTTCTAACATATCATAAATAAAGGTTTTCACTTAGCAAACACACAATAAAAAGAAGATGGGAGAGAGCAGGGTGACACAAAAGACCGAAAGGTTGATGAATAGTGTTGGGTCTAACTGTACAATACCTGTATGAAGGCAGAAACTGTGGCCCGAACGCGAGTAGTGGAGTCTCCGGTCCTGGCAAGCAGATTAGGAAAGGTCTGCTCCAAGCAGTGGGTCACCTCAGCTCGGCCCAGCCCTACACCTGGGATCAGCTGGCTTAGCATTAGCCGCAGCAGCTTCAGCGAGGCATGTAGAACCTAAAGCAAGATCCTTTTGTAATGAAACTTAAAACTTGGTGCTCTTTCTAAAATCTTACTACAATGGTAGCACCATATGTACTCATATATCTCTGTATGGACCTACCGCCTCCCACCAATTAATGAGCAGACACAGTTATTAACATCTATGTTTGATATCTTTTCTCTTTTTGTTTTTTAAAAATATGTTAAAGAGGTCTGAGAGAGACACTGATGCTAAAATCCTCATAAAGAAGAAGAAAAGCCGCAAATTAAGGCTGTAAAAGAAAAAATATTCCAAATTAAGCAGAGTAAAGGTAGTGGAAGATTAAATTAAATTTAAAGTAAATTTTGATCAGATTTATATGTTAAATTAATAAATAGTCAGTATGATTGACATTTTAAAAGTAATAAAAGTTATGCATTTTGCACTAGTGTATGTACTTGAAGACCTAATCGCTGCTCATACATTTGTAATTTATCCCTTGCAACAGCTAAAATAAAAAAAAATCTGATGCGCAACACAGGTTCTACCATTACACAAAAAAGTCGACCCTAATGGCCTAAATAATCGGCATCCCATCTCAAAAATGCCCTGCTTATCAAAAGCCCTTAGATTCCTTTATAAGTGCTGAACTGTGACTGTACCTGAATTTTAACATCAGAACAGTCAGAATTTAAATCATGCCACAGTACAACGAACCTTAATAACCATCAGTATTGTGCTACACTTTTCGTACAGTTAACATTTCATTCAGTAGATCATGGCATTCTGATTGAAAAGTTATGCTCAGTCAGTTTACATGAAAAGTCGTTTTTATGGCAGTCTTTCTCATAGAACTCTGAAAGGAGTCTTCAGATTTTTCAGGTTAGTCCATTTTTTCTTACTATAGGTGTTCCACAGGGATCCAGTCTTATATACCTCTTCTGTTTATGCCATATACTATCTCTGCTACCTATAGCAGCAGAGCTAGTATGCATAAACTACCATGCTTATAGAGTTTTTAAAAAAATTATTATGCCACTGACTATTGCAAAACTACAGTCTGCTTTTGATACATTTCCAAAAACAACTAGTCAATCATAAGCTGGGAGAGCTGAACTGGATCTAAACTCTGCTAAAACTGGGTGTGATCTATTCACAAGATTAGGTAAAAGTAAAGAGCCTTTGGTTTATATTCCAACCCTTCATCGTCAGAAATACTTTGGACTTTTTTAATGCTCTTTCTCTTCTCTATAAAATCACTATACAGTAAAAGGTTTTGTCTGTACTTGTTTATAGTGACACTGCATTGTAATAAAAAAGTGTGATGGTACTCCATATCTAAGAGAAAAGAGCAGTATTGCATGTTTATTTACCAAAAGCTCTGCAAAGATTTGCTTACATCTGCCTAATTTGGATGTCAGGTTTCTAAAATTAGCCATTCGCCTTGTTCACAGCTGAACAAACTGGTTTTAAATACATTAGAACATTGTATTAGATCTTTTAGAATTTGCATAAATATTGCCTGGGCACTGTGAGTGCCAACGTCTATTTAGCATATACATTTTATTCAATTCCACAATTGTGTATAAATTTAGGACAAAAAGTATGCAAATGTGTGTTTGGTTAATTGTCTTTGTTGTAACAATCATTCTTGGCAATAAATCTTATACCATTTATTTATAAGCCTGTTTAAAATAGAAAAAAATAGAATAGTCCTTTACTGTGATTGTACATGTACAACAAAATTGTGGCATTTCCCTGAAACAGTGCCACATTTTGCTTTTATTAAATATCACTATTAGCAATTAATTAAAAAAAAAAAAGAACACTTACCTTTCTGTTGAAAGAGACATTTCCTTGGCCTTACTGCGTCTCTCAAATAATTTAGATTGTGATGGTATTTCTATATTAAACTTGTGAATTTAAATTTATGAAAGTGTTTCTGTTCTTCACTTTTCTCAAAAAATGTCAATCAGAGGGGGGTCCTCAAATTTTGGCTAGTGTTTTTCTTGCATCACTGCTCTGTTTGGCTGGGCCGAAGGACTCATACACACCCACAGATACACACAAAACTGAAAGCCCAGGACAAGATTGGAAGTAAAGCCACTATAAATGACAGCAAAATTCATGGCATTGCTTACATGGGCACTGGAGTATCATCTTTTAGCTTAAACGAAAGGTTCTCCCTACATCAATAAACCTGCTCTTACAAGATTTCTGCAACAACTACCCAAGGTTAGATTCAGAACCAGGATATAATAATATTTAATACAAACCAAGGTTGTTAAGCGTGAATTAAACAAGCCCATTTCTATGCAGTATATTAACCAGTTAACATCTTAATGGAGTATTCTGTGCATCAAAGTGACTAGGAATTATTGCAGCCAAGCCTTTTTCATCCATTTTTACCATTCCACGCAGAAGGATTACAAAGCCATCCTTGTCAACACTATTTGTTTAAAGAAGCTAGCTCTGGGAGGCTGCACGTGGTACAGGGGGAACATTGTTCAGGGGGTGGCTGTATAAGCGGGTGCTGATTTTTAACAATGTTAAAATGTAGGTTAGCACTGCTTGAAACCTATGTAGTATGTGTTAATTGGGCTTATTTTTATGTTAAGATTAATTTCTTTTGAGGAAATGACTCACAGATGTGACTTTATCCAAGAGGGCTTTTTTGACGAGGAACACAGCAGCTCTTATCATGTTCCTCAGCTCTTCCTTGGGGGTGGTGGGAGAGACCTCCAAAAGCTTCTTATACACAGAAAGCAGGGCGTCCACTCTGTAACACCAGGTTTTAGAATATACCCCCGCCACCTGGGAGTGAATGGCAGCAGATTTACCAAGAGGATGAGAATATACATATTAGTTACATTGGTATTGTAGCATGTGGAAATAAAAGTGTGTGGTGCTGTGAGATTTAAATGCAGCAAATACTCCAAAGGCATTCACTTATTAATTTAAAACAACTTTTTAAAAGGAAATGGCAGCTATTTGTTGCATGGTCATTCGAACAGTGATGAACTATAATTATAGTTAGCGTGCTAATAGCATCTGTATAAAATAGGCTATTTAAGTGTTTTCAAAAGAGTTCAAAATTTGTTTTTCCTATTATACTTATTTTTTTAACTCGAAGAGTACTTACATTATCCAGTGTTAAAAATAAGCCAACAGTTAGTTGGGTTTTCTCTCAAATATACATTGAAATCTTTCTGACTGGGCTACTTATAAAACTGACTAAATACTAAAAGGTGACAGGTTTTATTTTTGCACTGACAGTAAGAAAGTAAAGTACTCCAGTGACATAAAATAACACAATGCTCTAGGTTTGTTTTTCTTCTCAGTTTTTGAAATACACTATGACTTTAACTGACTTCATACACCCACTATGACCTTGGAACTGGCTTAACAACAACCAGAAAAAGCACAATAACAATAATAATTACTTTTTTTAGACTACTTCTGTTCATTTCAGTATGTACCCAAGGACAATACCCATGATTTTTTGCCAAAATTGTTGAAAACAGAAGCAACTGATTTGTGCCAAAAAAAGGTCAATGCCTTTGCTACACAAAGAGAAATTGTGCTTATGAGTGTAGTCACTCCCAGAGGCCCACTGAGATCCTGACATGTAGGAATATAAACACAGCGCAAAGTTAACAGCTATCGTTGGCTTAGCTAGCTGTTTGTTTCACATATGTTTATCTTTTCTTACCAGGCTTTCTCCAAAGACCTCTATTGAAAGACCAGCCTCTCTCAGCACCTTCTCTGTCAGGGGTTCTGGTTCTCCACTCATTTCAGTGCTCTGTGGAGTCCTTTGCACTTCTGATATCGGGGAGTGCTCCTCCGCAGGGCTCTGAGTGGCCTCCAGTGGCTGATCTTTCCTCTGAAGGGCTGGCAGCGGCCTTTCGTCGTAAGGCACACTGGTAACCTGTCACCAGAAGAAAGCAGAAACTGAAAAAATATTGACACCACATGCTGAAGAAAATATAATGTATATTATATTTTCTTACTACGGCGGTTTGATTTTGCTATACTGTTTAATGTCTCAGCATCCAAAATTATGATGGAAAGTTTAGAGAAAGCTGATCTGCATTTTCCCTCCTGAGAAATACTTTTGAAAAATTGATTACCTCTGCTCTTTCACTAACTCTCACTAACATTCATCTAGTGAAAAGGTCAATCATTCAACATAAGGATGACAATGAATATTGAACCCTCTCTGTTCAAGCCAAACTTCCAGCCAGCCGAGCAGAGTACTGTCTCCGGTGCCCCTGGGCCAACTGGCACACTGCTGCCTAGTGCAAGGCTCAAAGCCCTGCCTTGAGGCCAGGTTGGGAGCCGCTGCAGTCAGCCAACTGTTGCACGCTTTTAATTAAATAGTGAAACCTAAACCTGCACTAGGGGTAGTCTTAGTAGGTGGTGAGTAAAGCACAAAGGACCCCACTGGTCATAATCTCCTTGTGTGCCCTGGGTTTCAACACTACACAGGAGACTTTTTCTTAAGGTGCTTTCCTATTAATATTTTTTTATAATAACACAGGAGTTCATGGAATTCAGAACAATGTGCACAACTGGACCAATAAAAAAATCTTTGTGTTTATAATCAGTGAAGATTGTCATGTCTAAATAAGCACTGCTTATTTAGAAAAACTGTTGTTTTGATTATAAAGTATGTTTGAGATGGACACGTTTCATGCATTATTTCTATAACATCTAAACACATTTGATACAGGAAGATGCTTACATCGATTTTGAGTACAGCAGCAGGCGTACAAGGTGTGTCAGGTTGGCTGCTCAGGTTGGATGTGATAGATTCTTCAGCTAATTGTTGGTTTTTATGAATGTCTGGATTTTTCCCTTTGCTGATTGTGTCTGTGGATACAAGAGGCTTGGTATAGACTGAAGAACGACCTGAAGAAGACAGAACAGGAGGAGAGTACTGGGCCAGGGTTGATTCTGCTGCCCTCGTGACCTGGTGACATGGAAAGATAGAATAACAGAGATCATTTTAGATCAAAAAGAGCCATGAATAATGCAAGATTTCCCCCGCATATTTTCTCCATCTTTTACAAAACAATAACAGCCCACCTCGCTGTTACCAAACCAGTAGCTGTTGACATACCATTGTCATATCCAGCAGGTTGTGTACTTCCAGCTGCTGGTACACACTCTTCCTGTACTCCTCCATCAGCTCCTTCTTCTTTTTGGCCAGATCATAGTCTTCCTTTTCAATCGCACATCGCTTCTCCACATCGTATCTAGCCAAACGCTCCCCGACCTGGAAGTGCAAAGAATATGGAGGTAAAAGCAGCCCTGCAGCTACACTGTGACTCTACACTACAAGCTTGAACAGATGAGAACAATTTACGAGATAAGATTTATGTCAATTTGTACCTTTAGTGACTGCAAGTCTATGTACTGTTTGCTGCGTGCTGTTTTTTTCTTCTTCTCCTAAATTATAATTTGAGCTGTCAGGAGAGATAGCTCAAATTATAATTTTCCATCTTGTAAAGCTGCGCTATTGGTGAGAGATTTACTACACTTCAAATCATGAGCCATTATTAAAAAGAATTTGCATTTAGTGTTGAGGAGGCTATGGGTCTTTATTTATTTGTTTATTTAATTGACATGTTCTTTATTGGAACAAACTATGAGTGTCACCTGACAGGTTTTACAGGATGTAAAATTGACATCAACTTCAGAAACTCAGACATAACATGTGAATGAGGAAATTCTAGTGAACTAAATTCAGTAGCTAATTTGTTGCCAACTGAAAGAGTTTCATGAACTCTGAACTTGCATCTACTTACAAATCTAAGTGTAAACAGAAAATCTGCATCTTCAGTTTGATGGTTTTCATACGAGAACTCCTGAAAAACTTGTGCAGCTCAGGACGGGCAGTTTATACAAAGCTGACCTTTCTGACATGTACCACACAGTGGGAGACCGTCTCACTATCAGAATGACCCCATTTTGATTAGATAAGGGACCTGCCTGGACACAGCAGGGAAGAGTCAGCAGACATGATGCCCAATGAAATCACTAAAAAATGACCAGTGTTGTTCTCTTGTGTATATGAGAGAACATGTAACAGTGAACATGGAATATGGAACTGATAAAACAAAACTATTAGTGTCACCTGACAGGTTTTACAGGATGTAAAATTGACATCAACTTCAGAAACTCAGACATAACATGTGAACGAGAAAATTCCAGTGAACCAAATTTATTAGCTAATTTGTTGCCAACTGAAACAGTCTCATGACCTCTGAACTGTTTCGATTCAATTCAACTAAGATATATAAATATATGTGTGCATTCGTTCAACATGAGTGGTCTGGTAGTAGATCAGTGACCATCTGTGGAGGCATATCCATGAAGGGACGCACAGCCTTCTACAGGCTAGACAACGGCACCCTGACTGCCATTAAATACCAAGATGTCTGTTGACAGATGGCAGTACAACAATGCCTAGTGTCATGAAAGAATTGATAGCATTGACTTGTCTGACCTAAATTCAATAGAACACCACTGGAACATTATATTTTGGTCCCTCTGCTGCCACCAAGTTGCACTGAAGGCTGTCCAGAAGCTCAGTGATGCCCTGGTTCTCCAAGGACAGCAAGTGCTGTCTCATTAGGAGGATGCCCTGATGTTGTCAGGTTTACATGCAAGCAGTTGGGGACCACACAACCTATTTAGTACTATTTTTAGCTGCTGCAATGAAATTTGGACTAGCCCGCCACATGTTTTTTCACTTTGATTTTAGGGGTGTCTTTGAATTCAGTCATCTGTAGGTTGATAATTTTCATTCCCATCAAAAAATGTGGCCTCCATTCATCCCCAGCTCGTTACCTTCTCCATGCCAGTTTAGACATCTCACATGAGTTTTCCCATAGAGATCTGATGTGTTTTCTCAGCATTTCTTAAATTTTTTTGAGTAGTGTATAATTTGACTGTCCAACGTGAAAGAAATACAGCAAGCCAAAACCTTCTCTTGTCTTCGTCTTGTATGTCCCTGCGTTTGTCAGATATCATGTGACATCATAAACCATTCTATGACATCCTGAGGGTGTGATGACAAGGGATTTACAGGATGACTACCTTGGCAACCACCGCTTTTATGCCATGCTAACAAGGTGTCTGAGTGGGTGTGTATGTTATCCAGTTACAGAATGGCTTGCAGTTGGAGATGGGAGAGAAAATATCCAAGTTCTCCCTTGCTGCAGCTGTCGAGCTTATTAAGAATTCATGGTCTGCATGGTAACGTTTTAGACAAAGGAGGTCTGCAACAGGAATCTGAACAATGTTTAACAACTCCTGTTACAAACAGTAGTGAAATAAATCTAGATATCTGTGAAAAAAGTGGTGCAAGTGAGTCCACAATTAAACTAAATTCCAGCAATACAGTTGTTGGAATTTTCTGGGAAAGCCTGTTGTTGGAAATAGATGCATGAAGTAAGGCGGGGCATTTAGCATATATTTGCTTGTCCATCTTTACATCTGTCTCTTCATATACTATGTGTGTGCTACAACAAAGACTTATTGCCCAAATTTACACTACTATCCGAATGCCATAGCTCACTGTACAGTACCTATTTATTAGTACCATGATCTAATTCCTAGCAGCTACAGTACCTTTTGAAGGTCAGCAATAGCCTGCTTTAAATTCTTGGCTTCCTCATATTTCTCTTGCCGGACCATCTCTTGTTTCTTTTGGTCCAGGAGACGAATGATGTGGGCAACTTCGGGGTCCTGGTACATATCAAAGGCCAGATCGTCCAAGGGGGAAATGGATTCACATTTGCTGAGTTGAAAACAGGACAGATGGATAACAAACATTGGAGAAATTAATTATATGGCTTGACACACCTGTCTTGTTGAAGCCGAGATCATTTCAGTATATTATCTCTTAATTGTGCAATTCTTCACCAGCCCCCAAGGGATGCTTCACCTCTAGGTGAAACATCCCTTGGGGGTACATATTAAAAAAACATATATTTCAAAAAGTGTTTTTTCCCTGTACTGGCCACCACCTGCATCATCTACCAATGCACGTGACCTTCAGTTCCTGATTGGTTGTCTTCCAGACTAAATGGCTTTGTTACACAATGTTATTGTCACAAGAAAAAGAAACCAGGGTTCAATGACTTAGCCTCACCCCATGAAGGTCGACTCCAAGGCAGCCTCCAGCTGGGTACTGTTGAGGTAGTGTTCGATCAGCTGCTCTCTGCTTGGCTGGGGGTAAACAGATGGACAAATTACACACACGTGCGTACTGTGTTGAGGAAGACATGACTTTTAATCCCACTGGCTTATCCTAAAACTAATGATCCCTCTGCATCTTTAAAATGTGTTGATCAAACAAAAGTACTGCACCAGCAACCACCTGGATCTTACAATGGTATTAAGATAAGAACACTAACTCACTCAAATACACAAACACATGCAAACGTTATCATCACTCTCAAGGCTATGGCCATATGGAGACTAAGAGCAAACACTGCTTTTACCTTGAATACTAAGCAAGGCATTACACAAAACATTGCCACTGATGACATTCTTGCTCATTATCAGCAGAATTAAACTTAATAGTAAAGAAGACAGACTTTTTCACAGAATATTGTTCCTTCACAGTAATGTGTAAGAACAGTCATACCATGTTGCTCTTATGCTCTCAATAAGAAAAAATACTGCAAGAGAAAAAGACACGTTTGTGTTTTTATATGTCATTTTTCATAGTCTTTGCATGATTTATGTTTAGAATAGAGATTCTTTTTGGTCATATTTTTTAGTTTCGTGGGGCACCAAATGTTTTGTTTGGATTGTACGCCGGTCCAGACTCTTTTAGTGCAGAGACATGCTCTTGTAACAGTATGTCTCTGTATCATTGTCTTGCTGAAATATGCAAGGCCTTCACAGAAAAAGATGCCATCTTGATCAGAGCATACGCTGCTCTATAACCTGAGACGATGGCAGCGTTTCTAGATCATGTTCATGTATGGCTCCTTCTTTGCATAACAAAGCTTTAACCTGCACTTGTGGATTTCTCCACGAGCTGTGTCCACAGACAAGGATTTCTGGAAGTGTATTTAAGCCCATGCAACAATTTCCACGACAGCATCACATCGGCTTTTAAGCCGCGTCCCTTCTACACAGCATTCTTGAAAATTTCTGATGATATTAAGTCTTCATAATTTAACACTGAGGAACGTTATTCCACAATTTCTAAACACAGTTTTCTACAGATTTGTGAAAATGTGGCTCTCTGATGTTCTTTTTTTTACCCAACCATGTTAATGACCAGTTAACATAATTAGCTGAAAAATGTTTTTACAGCTTTAACTTGTAAGTATCACTTAAAAGAAACCTTTTGTTTCTCCCATTCCAACTTTGAGATGTGTTGCAGCCATCAAACTAAAGATGTAGGGTTTAAAATTTTTAAAAATAAAAAAACCAAATCTTTTATATATACCGTTGTGAATAAAACATGGCTTTATGAGATTTGCCAACCATTGCATTCAGTTTTTATTTACATCTCACATACATCAGTTACTAATATTTATTTTCTACTGTGAAAAACCAAGTTAAACAAAATTAATTTTGATATTTTTATGACACTTTGCACAACCAAAAGCACAGGTAAAAAAAAAGAAACACATAAAGACAAATATGGTTTGGTATTGTAAATGTTCGCTCATTGGTACACTTGTATAGCGCAGTGGGACCACTGCATAAAGCATAGTCATTGTTAATATTATTAGTAATATGTGGTAAATGTCTTTTAAAATGCACATTCTAAAAAAAAAACTACGATAACAGAAAAATGGCAACGGTGAGTTTCAAAGGTTAAAGTTAAAGAAGTTGTTATTAAACTGATCATTGTAGTTGACGAGCTGCTGTGATTTTTTTTTCCTTTTCACAATTTGGATTGCTAACAATTTAAAGCAGCCAAAAGTTAAGCTTTTTCTTTGTATTCACACCACAGTGTCTCTTCCATAACTTCCACCCATAAGGCAGATATAGGAGAACAAGATCTAGCCGACCCTCTGGGCAAGATCACTGCTGTGATGGAAGTGCTCAGAGTCGGATTAGTAGACCAACAATGCAAAGCTTGTTCACTGGAATCTGTGCGACAGTGTGTCCATGTTTTTCCATGTCTGTGTTTGTGTGTGTGTGTGTGTGTGTATTTTAAGGTGCTCTCACTCCTCCAGGAGCTGTCCATCTGCAGGACTATCTGATTACACTGACTAACTAAAGGCCTCCTGTTTGATACATACTGTTGCATACTGCCCTCCCTTTGTTTCTCATTACTAGATGCCTGACACATATATACAAACCTACGCACAAACACACACACACACACACACACACCACTTAGGTAAACACGGGTGCATCCACCACATATAATCACATAGCACAGTAACAACACAAAATACTTCATTTGAAGATAAAGTGACTCAACAACTCCAATCCAATTATATTGAGTTGATGTTTATAAAATTAATAAGTAAATATAAGTAAATCTGCACAGATTAAAACAATAAAAAGAGGGGAAAACTGAAGCTTTGAAACCCAGTTTATTGTTTAATGATGTTCTGTGAATGATAAATAAACGCAGACAACATGTGAGGAATACTTGACAAGTTCTGTTTGACAGACATGTTCATAGCTGTGGTTGGTTCAGCGTAAGCAGACGCATGATAAGAAATGAATCCTTCTCTGAGCGACTGTGACTGAATGTGACTGAATCACAGCACAACATCGCCACCTACTGCTGAGGGGATAAACATAAGTGAAGGGTGATATGTGAGGAGAGTGCTCACTTACTATTGTGTTAAAAGCATTGCCATCCAAAGCATCTCCCAGAACATTAATGGCAACCAAACCAACCTGAAATCATTAAAAGAAGATGACGATGGTGAGCGAACTAAAGTAAGTAAATCAAAAAGTAAAGGAAATCATTCAAAACAAAAATCAATAAATAAATATAATGAATGATAGGTAAGTGTGAAGCAAATAGAGGACCCATCTAATTACAGTTAAAGAAAATGCTCTCTGACAGATTATCTATGGTATTGAATTTAGCCTGGTACACAGACACCAACAGACCCAAGCACAGACAAGACCCGCCCTCCGTTAGGAATGTGTGGGGGTTCTGATAGGATGTGTCCTGCGATGACACAGCAAGGCACAGAAACTTTACGGTGTCGAGTTAAGGCTGACCCACACCTAGAGGAAAACATGCCCATAATTTCTGGTGTGTGGGAGTGGTACCCTTTTCTTTGTCCAATGGCTGAATGACACATCCATGGCGCCATGTAAAATTACTTGAACCTTTGAACGATTAATAATAAATTTTCACAACCTTTATTCGTCTTCACTCATAAGAAAAATTAACCCGACATATAACACCCCATATTTCCTGTTTTTAATGACACAAGCAGTTCAAAGTTCAATAAATAACGAAAGAGAGCTGTAGGAGTTCAAGGTAAATAAAATCATTATAATAATGTAAATTCTATAGATTTTTTAGAAAACAGGCTTCTTCGGGGATAGCATAAGAAGAAAGCAAAAGGATTCAATCGGGCTCTTCTCCACTAATGTAAATGCACATAAAGCTTGTGAAGTATAGAATATAACTGACAACGTGATTACAGCAAATTAATTCTCTGCATAAATAAGCAGAATTCATAAAAAATGCAAGCCTTAACCTTCTCAGACCAGACTACCCTTAAATAACTCAGTGGCCACAGTGCATTGTTACCATGTAACAGAGTACCTGATTATGGTGATTGTAACGGTTGCCATAGTTTCTGTGGAAGGTTATTCTCAGATATGTTCCAACGGCATCTACATGGACTGACTTCAGTTCCCGAGCTTTGAAGCCTGTCTTCTCATTGTCCGACAAAGACACATACCTATGTGAAAGTAAAGTTTTGTTAGTCTGGGTCAAAATTCCTTCTAAGATATTGATGTAAATGACATTTACAAGAGTAGAAATGATTACTAAATTTCAGTTTGGTGATTATATGCTATCAAGATAGTGCACGTCTCAGTGTGGTAATTCTATATATTCAACAGGAATGGACAGCTAGTCTGCAGAATAAGACCGAACCACAGAGCAAGCCTGCATCTATCCTGTTTCTGGTATGTTAGGTTAATAAACAAAATGGATCCCAAATGAAATGATTCATATCAACCTAACGTCCAACAAAAGGATGTGGAAATTAAGCCTGGCCAAGTCTTCAGTCTCACCCAAGTCTGTGAAGCTGCCTGGGGAACCCTGGAGAGCTCGTTTCAGGAAGAGTGTCACCAATATAGAACTCAACCTTGGTTGAGATCATGTACTGATGAGCCAATAGCTGCAGCTTCCTTACCCTACTTCTTTCAACCAGCTGGAGCGTGATGTGCTGAGGGTAGGAGCACAGCCTGCAGTAAAAGTGATCAACACATGTTTCTTTAAGTTGAAAAGTAAAAAAACTTAGAAGTCACAAGAAAAATGACAAAGGGTACAGCCTTTGAGTACTAGATGCTGGCCTTCAGTTTTACAGGAAATTTCCTCTTGACTACATTCTGATAACAACCAGTGTTGAAATTTTCCATCTTACAGATGAAGTAAACTTGTCTTATGCCTTTATTCAGATTAAAAAACTTGCCAGAAAAAAGTTTAACCTTTATGGTATTTTTTATGGTACCTGCTGGATCTCCAGCCGTTGACTGTAGGTGCATGCACCATGAGCTCCTTAGCACTAAAGTTGTCCTCATGACTGGAAGAGCTGACCACAGTGAATCCTATCTTCCTTGGCATCCCTCTGTTGGACACTGATAAAACAAACAAAAAAATGAAGTGTTATTATTTATACATATATGTCCTACACCTGGGTGTGCCTACCCTGCCTTTTGCCCGTGCAACTGGAATAGGTTCCAAGCTCTCCAAAGTATCCTGCAAGCAGCATGGACATACTTTGTGAGTGGCGCAGAAAACCACTTCATGCTGCCTGGAATAAGTTTAGGTTGGGTAGGGTAGGGGTTAACTGGTTTTCATGTTAGCTGGTGGAGCTTGTTTACACTTTCCACTGTCCGTTTTACAGATGCTGCAACCACAAATTTCAGAAAACAATACAAATTATACAAATTAAAAAATATATTTGAATACATTTAAAATTTAAAAAGCCCATTGATTGGGCTCATATATATTTGTTTTTGTGACTTAAATCACAAGGGAACACTTTTCCCTTGACACCACCGATCACCTTGATCAAAACATGTACGTATTATATGCATGCATCGTGTCAGCTGTTTAACACCTGTTAATGTTAACTGATGATCTTCATAGGCAATTAAAATTCGTACCTGGGTACTTCCATTTTATAATTCCCAGAAAGGCACCTTTGTTAATAAATTAGTGTCTTCCTTCCTATATGGGCTGTTGAGATTGTGACGATTTACGAAACATTCCTGTGTTAACTGCTAGGATCCTGAGTTTGAAACTGAAAATCAAAGGGGTTGTGTTGTGTATTTGCCCCACAGGTTGGATGTTAGTTATGACATGGTGTCAGCTGGATTGACAGATGAGGTCAGGCAGTAGTTTCTGCAAAATATTGTTTTTTTAAATTCACACTTATTATTTAATGCCGAGTTTATTTCTTACATGACGGCTGCACAATAAAGCTCTGAAACATGCTTTATTTTGTTGGCAGAGGGGTTAGCAGCAAACTAGAATCGGGCATAAATACACCGGCACATTTTCTGCATCACCAAATGAATAAATGCAACAATGTGACGCGAAGTTTGTACTGCTGTTAACTTTACAGCTGGGATTGATTCATAGTAGTAAGGCACGACATACAAAACTTCTCCTAAAATCACAACAACAACAACAATAATAATAATAATAATAATAATAATAATAATAATAATAATAATAATAATCTATATCGCAGTTAAACATGTTGCGTGTGTGTGTGTGTGTGTGTGTGTGTGTGTGTGTGTGTGTGTGTGTGTGTGTGTGTGTGTGTGTGTGAGCGAAATAGAGAGAGAGAGAGAAAGAGAGAGAGTGTGTGTGAGTGACCTAACGAGGTTGTGTTTTCAGCATAAGTTACCACGGTGATTTAGACAGATAGGTAGAACGCCATGTTCTTACTTTGAGCGCTACGTAGTTCGCTGCCTGATTAATCTCACCTCGTAGTACAACCCTTTATGGGTACAAGCTAACCGTTAACTATCAGCCCACATACCGTAGCTAACTAAGGTAGTCTAATGTCTAGGGGTTTTGAAATCTGATACATTTCCTGGTGACTATGTTTCTTTGCGTCCCACAACATTTTTCTACATTTCTGGTGTAAACAGCGTTTTCCTGCGTTTACCTTAAAGGTATCTTACCACAAACATCACCGCAATGTTGACAGCTCGAAGCCCCATGTCTCCATAACCACCGCTGACAACAACCACTGCAGACATGCGCAGTCGTGAACGTCGCAGTCTAAATGTATTGTGGTCAGTGTAGTTTTATCAGCAGCATTGGCTAGCGACGTTTATCATTTTAATTCGTCTTTTGCACGTTCTTTTGTATGTTTTTTGTGCGTATTTGGATACGGTAGGAATTTCAATAAATTCATAAACGTTTTGTATTGTGCTTCAGAACAGCAATAATACGGCAACAATAATAAAGGAAGTTTGATCTCACCTTCAGAATAAAGGCATAAAGTAGCAGTAGCTTCAAGATTTGTTTTTCAATTATCTTAGCAATAACATGACGACAGCAAAGGCAATAAAATGCAAAAGAGACTAAAACACTAACTCTTTGCTTAATTTCTTAAAGCTACATTTTGATACATTTACTAGAGTTTCGTACACACGCCCATACGTGTATTTCTTTTAAATGATATTCACTTAGTTTGAAAATTTTAAACGGAAGTTGTGAGCTTTAGCACACTTGCATCAATCTAGCAGCATGGATGACACGAAGAAATGGCCAGAAGTAGAAAAAGCAGCGACAGAGAAGAGGCGTGAGTTGGTTTTACAGGGGCCCGCTGTTGATAAGAGAATTTCCTCAAACGGGGGACTCGACTCCTCCATCTACTCTCTGACACTACTGAATTATCTGGAAGTTAGCCAGTGCCCCAGTCTGACAGAGATCCACGAGGATATCCGGCATCTGACAAACCTCCAGAGTCTCATCCTGTGCAGAAACAAGCTCGCATCCATCCCTAATGTCATCGGCAACCTCAAGTCTCTAAAGGTCCTAGACCTGTCAGTCAACAACCTTACAGTCTTACCAGAGGGGGTCACCCAGTTAAGGGAGCTGAACACGCTCAATGTGAGCTGTAACAACCTGGAGGTCCTGCCTGAGGGACTCTCTCAGTGCACCAAGCTCTCCTCCATCAACATCTCCAAGAATCGCGTCATCGGGTTTCCTGCTGACTTTTACTCTGAGAAACTGGACCTGCTCAGCACCGTGGTGGCCTCTGACAACTTAATTGAAGAGCTGAGTGGAGAGATTCACAAACTAGCTGCTCTGAAGGTGAACTCCATTCACAAAAATGTTGTTTTCCACCAATCAACAAGTGTAAACCTGCCTTAATTTTATTTTGCTCGACACATGGCTCACCACAATATGAGCCATGTTCACCAGGGCAGGAAAGCTCTTAACATATGATTTAAGATGGCTTTCACTTTTTGCTAATATTATATGCTGGATAAACTGTCACATTTTTAAACATGCTTTGTAAATAGAAGGTCCTATATGTGTGCCCGCTTGGTTGCTGTAAAAGCTTAAATTATGTACACTTAAACTTCAGGGTACTTTTTTAGAGTGTGAGACTCCTGTGACACTCTGCCCTTGTTTTTGTCTTCCTCTGGCCCATCTTTGCAGGTCCTGGATCTCTCCAATAATAAGCTGAGAGAGATTCCCTCCGATCTGAGTGACTGCCCCAAGCTGAAGGAAATCAGCTTCAAAGGCAACAAGCTGAATGACAAGCGTCTGGAGAAGATGGTCAACGGGTGCCAAACCAAGTCGATCCTCGATTACCTGAGAGGAAAAGGAAGAGGCAAACAAGGGGAAGATAAAGGTGATGCTGACGGAGGACGCAGCACAGACAAGAAAAAAAGGCAGCAGCAGAGGAAGAAGAAGGAGAAGGCATCAGATGAGCAGGATGAGGTGGAAGAGCTGAACAAGATGGTGGTGAGGGTTCTCCATGTTTCAGATGCTCCTACGGCACTTACAGTCAAAGTGAGTGCAGAGGTGAAAGATGTGAGACCCTACCTGGTGTGCTGCATAGTCAGAGGTATGAACCTAAAGTCTGGGAATGCTCTCAAACGGTTTCTGATGGCTCAGGTAAGATCCAAAACCTCACTATGATATTAATTCGGCATCACATCTGACATACCCAAATATGTGTTATAGAGTCCATAAAGAATAGCTTTTTGTTTTTCCAGACAAAACTTCACGATGACTTGTGTGGTAAGAGGACCATAGCAACCATTGCAACTCATGATGTGCAGCAGCTCAAAAGTCCCCTTATGTATGATGTCAAACAACCTACCCAGCTCAAGGTACAAATGACAGAGAAGTCTTGTTTGTTAAACACTCTTTAAAAAAAAAAGACTCCTAATTTCACATGTTTATTCACCATTAGATTGTTGCGCTGGGTCGGAAGGAGATGACCGCCGTCGAGCTTATAAGGCATCTTCATCTAGAGGCTGAAGAGCTGAGGAAGCAGAAGAAGAGGCAGAATGTTACAGGCCTCCACAAGTCAGTACTGCATGTGACCTTTCCACACAGCACAAGCTTTGTTAACACTGGGTCAAAGATCTCCATTAGTCAGCCTCATAAAACCTTTGTGTTCAAGGCTCGAACCAATTTTAAGGACAAAAAACAATTTATGTAAAAAAATCCAAGGGACTGTTTAGATTAGAGGTGTGCGAGATGTTTAAACACATGAGGGCAGCAGAGGTGTGTCAGACCACAGAATTGGTTTGAGTATTTTGGCCTTGAGCACTAAGTATTGTTCTGTTTAAAAAAAAGTCAGGGGCAGTGCCAAGACTTCGGCTGAGGTTTCAGAAATAAATACCAGAACACCTAAAAATGAGTTTTAAGTTCTGCAAGGTTAATGGTTTTAATTGCAGACAAACCTCTCGCCTATTCTGTTGTCTCTGTCACCAGCCAAACAGTTTTTTGTTCTTTTTGTGTTGTTTTTAAAGATACCTCCAGCTTCTGCAAGGAAAGCCACTCTATCCATGTCTAGTAGATGCAGAAGGTGACGTGATTTCATTCCCACCAATCACCAACAGTGAGAAAACCAAGGTGTGTACATGTGGATATTCTCCCTATCTTATATTAGTCATTTACATTAATATTTACATTACTTTTACAGAATACAATGGATTTGATTTTTAGAGAAATAACAAGTCAGCTTGCATTCTGTCCTGATTTAACGAGACAGAATTAAAGCTCATCAGAGGTGCTTATCAGCTGATGTTCTGTGTATCATTGTGCTGTTTTTGTGTCTTTTCGTGATCTGACGGAAATAATTACATGAGCTTTACTGTACAGATCAAGAAGACGACCAAAGAGTTGTTCGTGGAGGTCACGAGTGCGACCAGCCTGCAGACCTGTAAAGATGTTATGGATGCTCTGATTGTAGTAAGTGCACTGCCTTTTCTTTAGTGAATGATAATTTATCTCTGTATCACAACACGAGACAGGGATGCACAGTTCTGACTGTAATACTTGTTAGAGAGACCCTGAAGGAAAAACAGTGTCCTGAGGGTAGTTTTAAGGGGAATGTTTTTGAGCAAGTGAAAGCCTCAGTCATGGTAATGTGCTTGGTAGTTAATGGAAAACCTTTTAGTAGACTGACACTGTGAGGGTAATGCCTCCGGTAAGGCCGGAATGGGGATTGATGATGGTACACACGTCTGGTTTAGGAAATCTGTTTAACAGAATCAGTTTTTTTGCAGTTTGCAAAGTCCACTAATTTTTTCTCCTGAGTGGTATTTCTAGGCCGTTAACACCTTGTCATGAGCGGTACTGTTTGGAGGAAATGAAGAAAGTTGAAGAAGAGAGCTCAGAAAGGTGTTGCAACCTGTGAGCAGTGTACAAAGCCAGACTTTCTTAATTGTAGAACTGCTTAAATACAAAAAGGAGTCAGTGCTGTGACTTGAAGTGCTTTAAATTCCTAGCAGAGGTTTTTGAGTAGAATGAATCAAAGAAAACAGAGACGATCAGTGACATTAAGAAGTACCTTTACTTCTGTGTGTGTGTGTGTGTGTGTGTCTGTGGAGCAGTTTTGTAGTGTTACACAGTATTTGCACCTTATAATTGGCGTTTTCTTACTACACACCTCGCAGAAGAATTGAAATTTTCCATGCTTAGGCTGATTATTTATTGTAAAGGCATTATAAAAAAATTATTAAAGGAGAAATTTTCGGTGAGTGTTATGCAGCGCATCAAGTTCCAGCCTTTTTCCAAAATGGACAAATTAATTTTCTTTATATAAAAATGGCAAACTGAAAAAAAAAAATGGTTGAAGTCCTTGCAAATCTTTTGAAAGTAAAAAAACCAAACAAAAATCTAACGTGTATAAAAGAATTCACAGCCTCTTCTCAATACTTTGTTGAAGCACCTTTGGCAGAAATTACAGCCTCAAGTCTTTCTGAGTATGATGCTACAAGTTTAGCATACCTGTAGTTTTTCTCATTATTCTTTGGGGAAACCTCTCAAGCTCCATCAGGGTTCAATGAGATGTTGAGCGTCATGGCAAAGGCTGTGAATACCAATGTGTTTTTAGTTTTTATAAAGAATTTAAATCCAACCTTTTTCAATTTTACATTATGGGGTATTTTGTATAGACTTTTGAGGTGATCTGATCTCTCTCTGAGGGACTTCTTGGTAAAATAACAATCGAAAAAAATTGCATACACACATTTAACAGGGCAGTTCATGTTTCTCTGCAGAAAATGGCAGAGTTGAACAAGTTCACAGCAGAGCATCAGGAAGAGGCGGGGTCAGATGGAGAAGGGGGTGGCCCACCAGTGCCTGCTGACAGCAGCGAGGCATCCAGCCAGCTGATCATCCAGCAGGTGCGAACGGTCGACCAGGACGGGAACCTGAAGGTGGTGTACCCGTCAAAGACAGATCTCTCCAACGACATGAACAACTTGACTATTATTTGGTAACAGTGCATTGGATTAAACCTCATGTTTGTACTCATTCACATGCTACGTGAAGTTATTTTAACAGTTTAAAGGATGGGGCTGTGTGAGCATTGAGGCTCATTTTTATGACTTTGACTTAAACGTGCTTCAAACATACAATAACAATGTCGAACAATGGTTTATTTTGAAAAACTCTGACATTGTTAATACATGTTGCTGATTCATGTAAAGCTTTTTGAACCATAATTACTTTAATAAATCCATTTCCAA